CATATCGGACACCGTAAAAGCGCACCTAGTCCCTGTCCCATCCCCTACCCTTGGCAAAGGGCAAGACGCAGACGCAGACGCAGGTAGACGCAAGCACACTTCTCCACCATCTCGCTACACATGAACCCCTCACCGCCCCCCATCCCATCCCTTGATGCCCCAGTCCATCTGAGCACCGGGAAAAGCAAAAACGGCGGAGAAAAGTAAAACACAATGATTACTATTTCCGTATTCACCGCTTCCCCATGTAGTCCAATCAATGCAGCAAGCATGCAGTGTTCAAGCCTCCACCCCCATTATACACGCTTGAAGACACACAACTTACTAGGTCCAAAACCGTCAATGTACCCAATAACTCCTTCACCGCATCGCAAGTAAGAAGCCAAGACAAGAAGAGAAAGAGAAATCGACCCTGGTAATACACACAGACATGTCTCGGCTACGTCAACGCCCATATATCTGTCACTTTGTTTATTACCGGTGAAGGAGGAAGGGGGCAACAGACAGCGACGGCGGTGGCGGGCGGTTCAGTTTTTACTAGGCTTCGATTGGAGATTAAAGGCATCGTACGAGGCCAAGAAAGCGGTAAAGTAGTTTGGTTTCCAAATAGTATGGCTGTTACTCCATCAGGAAAAAGAGAGGAAGAAAGGGAAAGAGAGAAAAAATAAAGAAAAAGGACGATAACGATGCTGCTAGATTTCAAGGCAATAGCCGTCGTCCATCACACAGGTTTAGGACGCGGGGGAAGGGGGAGGAGTGGGGGAGTCTTGCGTACCAAACTCTAGTGATCCTTGGTACCCAAGTTACAAGCTAAAGCGCTGATCTCTCTCACATCTGCTGATTTTCAGTTTCTTCTTCCTCCGGTCAACAGGGCATGTTCATTGTAACACATGGTAGTCATGAAAATGACTCGGATGCGAATCCATCCGAGTCTAAAAGAGTTTGTACCATTGGAAGGTGTCTATCAAGCCAGTGTCACCACATACAGCCAAGCTGTCTGCCTGCCACCCAATCAAGGTGCCTCCTCTCTCCCCTACCACCTCCACTAATCCATGACATGCAAGCAAGCAGAGAATGAACAAAAGCAATAGGCATAAAAAGAGAATAAAGGACGTCAAAAAAAGAAGTAATCAAGCATATGCACAACTATACAGGGAACCAAAGCAGAAAAACCTCCGAGTTGATAGCCCCACATATGTTTTCTTGCGTTGGCCCCAACAACAAACTGGGTCAAGTGCCAAAAACGAAAAAAAAAGATCCGGAAGAGAAAGAGAAAGAGAGATGGATATAGCGAAGGGGGCAAGCCGGTATAGCCCTCAACGTTAAACCGGAAAAAGAATAAAATAAAAGCGAACAGAAAAGGGTCGTCATGCATAGGCTTGCCTATCTAGGAAGAAATTGATTCTAACAAGGGTCCAGGGTGGGTATATGTGAACAATCTGAGTGATAGCGAGGCGGGAATAAAAAAAAAGGGAGAAATGGAGGTTTGGTCGAGACAGGGAGGGTTTGACAAGGCTGCTTGCACAATGTTGAACATGGGATAAAACCAACTTGCTTTGACCACATGTCTCCATTGCCGTTGGTGCTGCCGTTGTTGTTGCCTCGATGCGAACTGCCCCATAACAATATATGAAAGAACAGGGGAAATGGCAGTTGAGGAATGCTGACGAGTGATATATTCCGCATACCACATAGTTGACAATGCTCGCAATGTACTGTGTACAAAGCAGACGGACAAATTGCGCCGACCGAATTTGCTCATTCCCGTCAGTGTGGTGCAACATGTTCGTGCACCCGATAAGACTAAGGAAAACTGACGGGTGTCAGAGATAGAAAAATGCCGCCATTCAAGAGTGAATCTGAGAAAAACCAGGAACCGGGATGTAAAACAAGTCCCGATACGAGGGCAAGAAATGTGCTTTAGAATCGTATGTTTCGTCCAAATCGCCTGCCAGAACTAGAGCTAATGGAGGCCCCAGTTCAAAACGTGCAACAGCACCAGCACCAGGACAGGGTAGGCTTGACCCCACAAGCCACCAGCCGAGGGTGCGGGATAGGAATGTGAGAAGACAGAGAGAACATGGAAGGGCAAGATGTTATAATACAGGGATGTTACTCCGGAGCCGACCGCAGTGCAATGGAAGCGCGATAAAATCGTAAGATTGATGATGCCCAAACAGGAAAAGATGACGACGTCTTTTTTGGGGGGGAAGCCAAAGGTCGGCGTTTGACGGCTATGACCCAATTGTATTTGACGCGCGACCGAGAAAAACGCCGTACGCATAAATTCCATGTGTAGTAGTTGAATCCCGAATACACGTGAGCTACTGCCTACCAGACTGATGAAGTAGTATGTAGTAAGCTGAGTAACGCGGGGGAATATCTTGAGAAAAAAACAGAGTCCAACTAATAAAAGAAATTCGAGATAAACAAGGGCTGACACATAGAGCAGTCCGTTTTTACGTATACATTTGATTTCGTCCATTTCCTAGTAGACACAAAGCATACGGTCGCATGCTCCGCGATATGCGGGGTCGTAAGCTGGCATAAAAACAAGACTCGAGGCGCAGCAACCGCTGACAGGGGCCCATATTTTTTTCCCTTTGAGAGAAGAAGGGCACAGTCGGGAGGCGGGGAGGCGAACGTGCAGAAATGCTGCGTGGCTCAACCCGTCTCATGGCCAACAGATCCGCCGCCCGGCAATTGAGCTTTTTGCCGTTGCATCGCATGCTTGTTGAAGGGTGATACCAAGGCCTGACCGGTATTGATGCGTTGCGATAAAACGCCAGTTATTACCAGCATGCGATTGGCAAAAAGAAAATCAGATCAGAGCGCCCTGCGGGATCGGAGCGATGCTCGAAACAGACGAACTACCACGTCTTCGGTATCTACCTCGGATTCGCGAATCCCCCAGTCATCTAGAATTTTCTGGAGTAAAATTGCGACGAATCTTGGTAGCTGTGGGAACGATATTGCAACGCAATTTCACAGTAGCTGGGATAAGTCGTTCCTTGGTGGGGGTCAGGGCCCGTGCACTAAGATTTCGAGATGAAAGGAAAACCCGGATTCTGAGAGTCTGTGGAGTCGACCTCATTTCGCTAGCAAATGATACCAACTTGGCAAGAGACTGAGAAAGGAAAAAAAGCCTTGCGCCAAACATCCCTGCAGTGGATCTGGTGTGATTATCATTAATGCGACGCAGATTCCTGTTCTTTCCCTCGCTCTCGTATTCCCCATGAACGCTTTGCGACCAGGGTGGTGTGCTTCTCGAAGGGCCGATACAGATTCCTTATAGTAACCAATCCGGATTCAAATGGCAATGCTGCTGAAACCATTTCCCAATCTAATGGTCTCCAGCCTCCCGTTTGGGTGATTGCATATATCCGCGATCCCAATGTTGTTGTTGCTGTGTCCCGTATTTTTGGGTTTCAGGTTGAACAGCCGTAGATGCTGGCGCGTAGCTTGGCTGACTGTGTCCTGATTGCTCATTTCTTTGAGACGGGGCTGTGTACACCTGGTCTGCATTGGGGTGTGCTTTGCCATCTGTGTCTCTTGCTTCTTCTGCCATGTCGCCTTGCCGCACGATCGTCTCGTGTGCAAGGCCGGAGATAGTGCCTCTACGACTCAGCGAACCGCTGGGGCCGTCCGGCGCCCGCGTGGATGCATCAGATCGGTTTCGAGCGTGGCCTCGCCGACCTGGTGTCGATGTCGAAGACGACGATTTGTGCGAGAAAGAAGGTGATGCGTTAGACCCTGGCGCCGATGTAGGATGTGGTGCTGGTTGATGTGGGCCTTGAGCCTTGCGCTTTTTTGGGGAGCTGGTGTACTCTAGGTCAGACGCATGCGACGCTGCACGTTGCCGTGACTGGTGAACAGGCGAAGTTTTGTATTTACCTGAAGGCGTAGCTGGCAGATTTCCACTCGAACTCTTTTCTTGTGAAGACGAGGATGGGGGAACCCAGTGGTGGAAATATATTGAGGGAGATGATTGGTCCTGCTGTTGCGTCTGTGTTTGTTGTAATTGTTGCACTCCAGCTGGCGTTGCAGGAGGCTGTTGTATAGTCATTTCGTTAGTCGTCAACCGTGGAAGTTGTGACTGTGGTAAGGATCGTGGTGCTGATGTAGGGGGGCCACCGAGACCGGCTTGTGCAGCCCTTGCGCGTGGTGAGAGCTGTCCTCCAGTATATACTGGATTCGAGAGAGGTGCTTGTTGATTTTGCGTAGGCAGTGGCTGGCCAGGTAGAACTGCCGTTGGGGGAACTATCGCTTGTGCGGCTTGCACTTGGCCAGCATACGCTGTCGACTGTGGTTGTCCGATCATCCTTGGGTCTCGTCGGAGATCTGGAGAAAGTTGTGGTTGCGCCTGAACCTGTGCTTGTTGATGGGCAGCTTGAATTTGTGAAGTGTACTGTTGTATCCATTCAGCACTGATGTTTGCAAGGCTGCCTCCGCCAATGCCGGCGAATATTATAGGCACTAGATGAGGCGGTACTCCGCCTTGCATAGATTCTCGAAGCATTGACTGTTCAACCTTTCGTTGCTCAAGCCGTAAAGTTTCCTGTCTTGTCTTCTCCTCCTCTTGCTTGCGTCTCTCCTCTTCAGCTTTGGTCGCCAACCAGTTTTTCATTCCATCTTCGGCGCCTTGCCACTGAGAAGGAGCCGGAGGTAATTGGCCCAGTGAGGAAGATATTGGTGGAGGTCCTCTCGCCGGATCTGGCAGGGTCATTGCCGAGGGAGGGGGCAATCCCCTGTGAGGCGTGCTCATCGTGTGAGAAGAATTGGCGGACTGTGAGAGAGGCGACCCGCCGTGGGGCTTGTCAGAGTATCGAGTAGCTGTAGAAGATGAAAAGGCTGCAGAGTATGCATGAGGTTTGAAGTCGAAGTCGGGCTTGACTGGATTAGAGAGTGTGAGCAACATGAAGGAAGGTGGAGCCGATGCGGAGGATATGGTGAGAGCAGTCCGGCATTGAAATGAGTCGCTTTGGGTGGCGCCAGAAATTTTAAGTTCCGGAAGGAGAAGGAATGGTGTACATACTTATTTCGCCAGGAGCATGTTCACTAGAAGCACTGTCCACATGACCCAAGATGAGATCAGTAGCCGTTGCCTCAGAGCCTAGGCTTAATATGTCCCCTGGTCCGGGAGCCTCGATCTGATTCGTGATTATGACAGGGCCACAGGGAAAGAGAAGGGAGGGTAACGGGCAAAGCTCGATGCAAAGAAGATCAAGCCCCCCCCGTAAATGGTCGCGTGGGCTGGCGCGGTCGATCCGGTCCAGATTAGAGACAGACGAAGGAAAGTGCGCAGCGGTGGGGAATGGCGTGCAAGAAGGGAAGAGGACCGACTGGAGTCGGGCCAACCGACGGCAATGACGGCGCCAGAGGCTTGAGAGCAGCACAGAGAAACGGCACGCCGTACGTCAAGGAAAGCCGATGTGTGGCGTTCTGCAGGTGATGGAGGGTAGGGGACTTAGCAAGGATATGCATGGAAAGAAATGGTTGTCAGCGAATGCACTGTTGCTGGAACTGCAGTGCGCGTACTTTTAGTCCCACCATGCAACACGCCTGAAAAAGGCCTCCATTTTGATGCAAACTCTGGTAGTGGTTCCCACATGTGGCGCTGGAATTCGCCGCAGGAACATGTCCCGCTGCCAGCCAAGCATACCACATACTCAGCTCAGCACTAGGCAGTGGTAGTTGGACATTATGTACTCGTACATCCGACTCTCGCTAGACACACCGGCCTGGCATAGCGGCTACCGTGACTCTGGCCCCATTCTTTTACCCTGGTCTCGTCCATGGCAAGGTAGTATAAGGGCGATACGATACATGGTTCCCTCTACGTACACACATACACATGCACACGACGTGTCTCTGCTTTGCGCTATGTACGACAGGACGTGAGCCCTGAAAAGTTGCGACATAGCAGACCTATGTATACGTGGTACCGGGAATGCCCCAAATCTGGCTTTTGTGCAGAGCGGTTCTATTCTTTTTGTCGGGTGTTGGGCTTCGATTTGTTTGACGTCGCGCCCACTTGAAATCGCATACCGTACGAATTAGGTAGTTTGGCGTGCCACTCTGCTCTGGAACACGTCCATCGCTACTTCATTCATGGCACATGCATCTGTGGGCGCCGCGGCTCAAGGATTGTGATGTGGACTGACTGGCGCGGCCTTTGCAGTCTGAGCCGTGCGCTAACACCAACCAGCAGGGTCAACGTCCGGGAGGAAGCGAGCGCAAGATTACCGCTGCAGAGGTTGCTGTGGCCTGGCTCCTTCCAAGGCTGCCCACATGGCATGATGAGGAAATGAAGGGTCATCTCCGTCGTCACGTCTTCAGCCAGATAATAACCCGAAGGGGAAGCGTAAAATGAGGGCTTCGTGTTCAAAAGAGCCTCCGTGCATGGGCACGAAACCTTGGAATTGGTGGAAGCATAGTATCCTGTGGCCCAGCTGCAGCACCCGTTCCGAGCTTAGTGTAATGCCCGAACAAGTATACAGATACCGTCGTAGCGTCAACGGCTGAGCACAGTTTGATGACTAGCACAGACAAAAGTGGTACGGAAAAAGGCGCCGGCCTGAACCTGTCAGTCTTGGGGTGACCCCTCCAGATCGACAAAGCCCGACAATCATTATGGCCCAATCGATAAGGATGGTGACCATGCGCTCCGACACGCGATCCAGGATCTAGGGTAGGGTGTCGAAATGTACACCTACCTGGAGCTGGACTTGGGTGGATGAAGCAAAAATGGGGATCTTTTGATCGTGCGCGCCCCTCCGTTCCGGTAGGTGGAGTTGACTACTTAGAATAGCGGAACGCCAGCAGCACTGACGGCGAGTTCCCACTATAGCACGTAATAAGGTCGCAGATGACAGCTTGCAAGCCACGATGGACAAAGGGACGGGTCAACAGATGCGGCGTTGCGCAATGCCCGGGCGCCTGGCACCAGCTCGAACGATCGCCTCGAGACGTAAATTTCCGCGTCGGCGCTGAGACTATGCTTATTCGGGCCATGCAGCGGATCTACGTGAAACTCGCGGCGCACCGGATCTGTACGAAGGATCTTTGAGTATGATTTCCGGCGACGGCTGGCTAGTCTCCCAACCAATCACCCGCAATCTGCCCTGGTGATTATCATCATAACAGTCGAAATGGGGACACCATGGCGAAATTGCTCGTGACTGTACTGCGTAAGCAGAAATGACAGTGGAGAGCAGTCTCTATAGTCTAGATTGAGTCGACAATTTCTCGACCAGGACGCTACCATATGAGTAGAGTAGAGCTGTTTTCAGTAAATCATCCTAGATGACGACCTGTCTGTGTCTAAGTATCTACACACCCACGTGTGAGCCCGGCCAAAGGGAGGGTTTCAAAGAGTGCACGGCAAGGATCCGGTAGAACCGCGGGGCGGAAGATGGCAGTCATAGCTCTGACAGCTGTCTCGTACCGAGCCCGTATGTGTGACGTGTATCGATGTGCTTGAAGACGACTTTGAAAGCCTCGAAGGAGGGGGGGCAATTCACCGATAAAGAAAGACGACCACATCTGCCGACAGGGCAACCTGAAAGGCGATTGATGTTGCTGCTGATGCTGCGACATGAGTGCCAATCAGGCCATGAGGCGTGAGCAAACAATAGGCTTGCAGTCGCATGTTGTTTTGTTTTGTTTGAGCAAGAAGGAGAATGTAGTGTGTACACTACTCGTACTCTGTAGCAAGCCGCCGCCCAAGGCATCGGGGGTCGGAAACAGGGGATGCCGCGAAAAGCTGCCGCTGCTGCTACGGCATCCATGGGTAACAGGCAGGGTGAGGCGGACAACGGGGGAAATAGATGCTGTGCAGTGCACGTAAGCTGCAACTCAGACGTCGATCATTCGTCTCCCGCATCTGAGAACCGTCTCGCTGGCCACCCCAGTCAGATCGATTAGCGTATCCAGATGTGAAGGAGCTTACACGGGCCGGCTAGTCTTTCGCCGCATAGGCTCCGAAGCTGCTACTCTTGCACCACTGGCTGTCGCTTGGCCTTCCCTATCCTCACCTCACCTGGCAAGGGACGTAGTGCAGCTGCGGGACGGCTGTTGCACCCCCCTCCCCCCCTCATCCGCGTCTACCTGGTTCACTTCTAAATTGAGCCAAGGAGCGCTGATCTTTGCTTCACCTTTGAGAAAATCAGACCACAGATCAGCGTCGGCGTGCTCTGAAGTTGCATCTTGACCGGCTCTGGTACCCATGAATGAAAGCGAGGCGCAGCTTCTGCCAGTTTGTGCTCGGAGTAGCCGATACATTGATGCTCGTCGTCGACGCGGCCACGTAGTTGGGATCGGAAAACGGTGGTTGGGGAGGCAAAGTTGGGCGCAGGCAGTGGGGAGGCGAAGGAGTTCATCGGGAAAGTGCTAGCGGCAGTTTGCCACCCAAGTCAACCTGAGCATCCCTGATTGCCTATTTGGGCAGCTTTCCACCATTCCCCGTCGCCTGTCGTCATTGTTGCCGGCACCGCATTCCCAACACTCTGCCGCTCCGGTTGCACATGCCTCGACGGCGTGTCGAAAGGTTGTTGGAGTTGGAGTAAAGTCTACGTACGGCCATGTAATAGTAAGTATTGCCTCATCTTCCACCCGCCATGCCACCACCACCCAGCCCGCAACTTTTACTCTTTGTGGCTTGACACCCCCCTCGCAAACCCTCGCTCGTTGGCGCATCTGCTATGTACACCACCCTCTCCAATTGCCGCTCGTATCAATCACCTTCCCTCAACCACCCCCTTTGATATGCCTCATTAGCCAAACACTACGCTCACACACGTTCTCGCGTACTCGCTTCGATCCGCCTCCCCTGGCAGCGTTCCCGGAGGTACTGCCCCTCTCATCTCTAGCTCAAAACTCTACTCTCCTGAGCCAAGCAATTACTCCAAACACTCAGCCCAAACAGCTTCAGTCCTCTTATTGCCCTTCTTCCTATCGGACAATCTCCCGATCCATGTGTCGACAATGTTTAATACGCCAGTTATCAATAAAGCCACCAACCCCCGTTCGCTCTCAATCAAGAAATATTGCCTTCCATAATCATTACCAATTAGTCGCTTTTCACCAGCATCTCCATGTTCAGCTTGCATAGCGTAATCAACTAGTTATGTATTATTTGGCTACCTGCAGAGCCTAGATTATATTGGGTATACATGAATATATGCAAAAAATGCAATGCTTTCCCTATGCCATTTGCAGAAAGAACGCCGTCTCTGGTATATTGATAGGGATGCGTAAACAGACCTGGAAAAGAAGGAACAAAAAAGAAAAACACAAGAGGTATCTTGATCAGTAATCATCGCAGCCGTGCGCCAAACACCAAAGCCCCCCTCTCAAAAGGGTAAGGCCTGGGAAAACGTTCTCCCAGAATCATCCATGTCCAGACCGTGACCCGACGGTGGGCAACTGAGCCATCCTTGATACCAGTGGAGTGGCAGCGTCGTTCGGGCGGCACCGCTAAAAGACGCCCAAAGGGTAAACAGGAAGTGATGTGTCGCGGCTAAAGTGGGCGGCATCCCACTAAAAAAGCAAAAGGTATCTTGTGTTGCAAAACCTTGGAAAACGTAAAACGTGCCAGCCACGTTGAGATTTGCGCGCCACCGATCCCAAGAGATCGACCCCGTAGCTTCTGGAAAAGGCCATGGAAGGGCGTGGGCGAGGGTTCAACAGGAAGCGTTTCTATCTTCGGTGCACCATCACCCTTCAAATCGCAATGCGCCCGCAAAGCCTGAAGTGGGCGCTTCCGTCGCAATATCCTTGGAACCGCCTACGTCAGGCATTGGCTCGTTTCTTCCTCATCTTGTATTCTGCCTTGGCTACCCGCATCAGCAGATCCTCGTCTTTAATCGGGATCCATGATGTCAAGACCTTCATGGCATTCTCAAAGTCGGAATCAAGCAGGATTTCTCGTGTTGCATCGATGAGTGCAGCCGACGTAGCATGCAAGACATCCATATCTGCGCTGAACTTGGATCCTGGTGTAGTAGCGTGGGACTTGTCACCCAACAGCATGAATACGTCCCAAACCCGGAGTTGTGCTGGAAACGGTAACGAGTAATTGAATAAAGTGAGGTACCATCGCGTGCCGTATGCGGTTGATGTGATGCCCAAGTCTGTCTGTGAAATGTTATGTCAGCTGATATGCCATGATGCTGTGTTGTGGGTTTGGACTTACCAGCTTCTGTGCAATGTCACCTCCGCGCAGCCAGTTGAGCTCAAAATCTTCAAGAGCCTCCATGAGGCCTTCAAACCCTGCCTCATAGAGCCTCTCCATGCCCCGAAGCTGCCACAATCGGACGAGCATCACGAATGCTCGGTCTTCTTCATAATAGCATAGAAGCGTGGCCGCCAACGAGGCCATACCTTGAACATAACCCGTTTCAGGCAAATACAATGACATTGCGTGAAGTACACGGAAAAGTAATCGTTGTCCACCACGATATCGGCGTCGAAACATGATGTGCCTGTTGATGGTACGTGGCACATCAACATCGATCTGGACGTCGTCGGCGGAGCCCTCTTCTTGAAGCTCATAAAAGTTGACAATAAGCTCCTCCTCAGTTGGACTGTCGGCATCCGCATTGGCGCTTGCAGCCAGGAAGGAGTACCATGCAGTCGCTCTCCAGCGATCGGGAATACCTTTCCACGTGCGAGATATAACTTTGGGGTCTTTGGTCTCGAATTCGAAGAGCATGCCGCCCTTGTCTGCACCTGATTTGACAACCTTTGCCATCTTGCGCCATTTTTCGTTCCGCTCGATTTCCTTTGCCTTCATAGCTCGGGCAGTCCTACCGCCCTCCTTCTGTTCGGCAACCTCAGCCAAGCCTGGTGGTAGTTTAAGCATATCGCTTGCTTCGTCTCTCAATCGGCGGTCGCGGTTGTGAGGTAGTTTATTTGCAGCATGGCGCAAAGGCTTGAAAGTCGTATGGGAGTCCGATGTCTTTCCAGAGAAGATAGATCTAGCGGGCTTGGAAGACCTGCCGGAAAACCGTCGTTTGAGCGAGCCGGCTCGAGGACCGCCAGACTTGGTGGAAGGCGCGCGTGAGACACTCCGGCCTAATCGGCGACGCCTGGGCTCTTCAGATAGTAGCTGCAGCGTGGTGGTGACTCGTTGCATGTGCGGTTCGTCGGGGCCGTCTATGCCTTCACTGTTTGATTTTGACCTCGACCTCTTGGGAATAATGAAGCCATATCGATCAACCTCGCCACCCTCGAGATCAGCCCAATCCTCCAGCCCACCAGCAGCCTCAGTGGGCTCTTTGACAATGACGCTACCGCGCCTCGAGCTCATAAGGGAACTATCGTCCTCGATGACCTCCATGGCCGTGTTGTTGACACTGCTGTTACCACGATAACTATTTTGAATGCTCCTGCTGTCTTCCTCTGGCGCATCCCAGTTGACGGCGCTCTCGTTTCCGTGCATGTACATGCAGCGCACCTTGCGCGACAACGTCATCTCATCCGCGGAAAGAACACGGTGGCTTATGGATCGTGATCTGCCGGAGACACGAGAGGTTGCTCGTGGGGAGAGGAGTCTCGCAGTGGGGGGTGGGGGGTGCGGGGACTCTTGCTGCATCTGGGTGGAGGTGGATTGCGGTTGCTCTTGTGACGCTCGCTGTGTTTGCTCTTGTGATTCCGCCTGCTCCTCCTTCACCACTTCCTCTTTCTGTCGCAGTGGCGCACTCGGTGTGGCCGCGCCTTCCACAAGCAAATCCATCTGCCTACTCTTCCTGTTTGCCCTTTTGCCACCCAACATCATGCTGCCCCGCTTCGAAAAAGATATCAGCGCGTCCGAGGAAATGTCGTCAAAGCCGCCGGTAGGGATGATGCATTCGAGCCGGGAAAAAGCAGCGTCGTCGTCTTCGTCGTGTGCATGTCCTGTCCTGGATGAGCGCTCGTCGTGAATTACAATTGCCGGCAGGCTTGGCGTCCTGCGCAGACTCCTTGGTGAAGGCGGTTCGTTCACGATGGTGCCGCTGGACGAGGCCAGGGCAGAATCTCTGCGATCATCATCGTCTCCGTGTGGCGGCGTGCGCTTCAAAGAAAATGCGCGGGGTCCTGGCGAAGTGCGCGGTCGGCGGACGTTGGCCAGCCATGAGCGCGACGCCGTGCCTTTTGCTGACAGTGCACTTTGAGGGTTCGAGAGTACAGGCGCAAGCGGATTCGAGGCCTCGTACGGTTCCACTGCCGCGTGGCCAGAGGGGTTCACGGCCTCATCGCTCATAATGTGCGACGCGGGTCCTAGTCATGGAATCTGTCCCGGGCAAGAATAGTGGCGGGTAAAGCGAAATGAAGGGGTGCGGTCGATACGACCCCCTACGACAATATATCCAAAATATGTGCAGCGACGAGGATGTCGGAATTGCGATTTGGGCGGTGCAGCGGCTCCAGTACTGTGGGAGGGGAAAAACGCGGCAGTGCAATTGGAAAACAGAAAAACGTCTGCGCCAGTCTACTGCATCAGACGAGACCCTGGCTTGGTACTTACACTGGGGAAAAGGGGCGTCGCTATCCGCCCGGGTCGTGGGTCGGTCGTGGGTCGTGGGTCGCATGCCTTCTCCAGACTTGCTGCCGGTCGGAGATTGCCAAAGGCGCCGCTTTCGTGTGACGCCTGCTCACAGCACCGCCGCGGGCTGTACTTGCCCAGACCTGGCTATGACATACTTGCTTTTTCGCATCCTACGCAGCATCCTCCATATTACACTCTCACGCATTGTCGAATCGTTCTTCTTCGTTGATGCTTCGCACGTTCAGACGACGCTTGCCACTGCCAGAAAGCTCAAACACTTCGCTTCCCAGTTACGGCCCCCCGTGACGATCGCTGACCCACGTGTCAATAAGCTCCTGGTCCTGGCTCACTTCTCAACACTAATCCGTACTATCAATCTCCATTGTTACTCCTTCAGCTCAATTGTTGTCGTATCATCTGCTGTATCATGGATACTCCATGGGAGCAAGGTCTTGGTTACAGAAATCGCTGCATTGAGAGGCCCCTCTCACAACACCAGAGTTGCACATGCAATAAGCCAAAAGTTTATGCCCTGCTTACTTGACGCTCGCAGGGGTCAGCTTACTCCTGTAGCTTTTTTTAGGCATAAGATGCTCGTCTCCACTCATGCTCAATTTTCCGTTGGCTATGCAACCCATTCGCGGCCTCGTGGATTCCACAAGTCCTACGGCGTACTACACGTGTGCATGAAAGGGGGAGTATACAGCTTGTGTGTGCCGAGCAATCCCTCGACTAAGAAACCATATACTGCCAATCACTATTATCTAGTGTCGGTCGGAACCAGAACCATACGACGCTGTAACCGGTTCTTCCAATGAGCACCTCGCACAAGTCGAACTAAAACAGTAGTCATCGGAGTTCATGGTGATCCCAAGAGTCTGGCTACTGGATCCCCATATCCTTCAATGTAACAAAGTACGGTGATGCGAGAAACCCCCAACGCACGAAGAAAAGTCTTATCTAAAAAAGAAGAAAAAAAGTCCATTACCTCAAACGCTACCCCAAACAAGGTCAATCCTAGAGAAAACACACATACACGCTTCCAAAACTCATCCTGCGTCTCGATGACGCAATCCCCAAATCATAGAAGTCGCACTATTCCAGTCCGCTCCCTTTTCCCCGCAAGCATTACGCACGTAAGGCTCCAAATCCCCCCGAACTTAGTAACCCTTCATTAAAACCACGTGCCCCCCAAAACCGTCTAGCCAAAAAGTTAACTATCAATGCTCCTGCGTATGCGTATGTCACATATGCACATCATTGAAACTACTCGGTATCCCGAAACGCCCTCCACACGGGTATGTACAAGGATGTACCCCTTCCCTATAACACGACAATGAATATAGTAAGCCACGTGAACAAAGTGTGGCGTGAGGGACGGGAGGAGGGGGGAAAGGAGATCTAGATTGTAGCTTAATCGAAGACAAGCACGGAAGCTTAATTAGAGGGCGTTGGTTATTCAGGGCTAGCTTGGTCTAACGTGCCGTCTATCATGGTGGTTAGATGAGGAAAAGGAAAAGATCAGAGGCGGTTTGTGTCGATCAAAGTATGACTATTTTTGGCTTCTCGTCTGCCAACATCATCAGTTTGTTCATTGAGTAGAATTGAGCCACATTCAATTCCTAACCACCAAGCTGTTGGAAGATACCACTTCATCTCCAAGACTCTATACCCTTCTTTCTATAATTCCACAATGCAAAAAAACAACTGCTCTGGGTTTTCATTTCCTACATAACCTAACTCACTTCTTCTTCGATCCCCTCCCACCCTTCACACTCTTCTTCTTTCCCTTTGCAATCTCCGCCCCTCGCCTCCCTCCCGCAATCATCACTCGCACTTTACTAACAGGCACCACACCCACAACCTCCGTCTCCTTCCATCCACGAATCAGGTCAATTTCCTTGGGCCAGATGCGCTCGACATCCTGGCTATTCTTATCAACAATCTTGGCATCTTTACCCGCATTATCCCAGATGGCCAGCACCTCTTTAACAGCTTTGCCGCGCTTCGTGGACCCAGGCTGCATTTTGGCCTTGTACTTGTAAGTCGAGAGGGCGGACCAAGGAGCACAGACTGGGATTGCCGAGATCAGCTCGTCATTCGGTAACGGGCGGCCAGTGAATGCATCGAGATTTTGCAGATTTGTTTTTAGGACTTCGTCGCCTTCGTCATCATCTTCGGCATTTTCGAGTGCACGGAGACGGGCCTCTTCGGCAGCCTTACCCGCAGCTTGAGCACGAAGATGTTGTTCGCGCCGGCGTTGCTTGTCGGCTTGTGCTTGCTCTTCCTTCTGACGCTTCTCCTGTGCCGCGGCTTCCGCAGCTTGCTGGCCAGACTTGGAACCCAAAAGCCGCATGGCCAGTTCACGATCTTCCTCGTCTTGCGCTGCATATTTCGCTGCCTGCTTTTTCGCCTTTGCACGTTTTCCACGTGGGAGGGGGGCATTCTTTTGCTTGTTCATCTGCGATGTAACAGTTCCATCCACCTTTGTAGGTGCCTTAGCGCTACCGCCCTCTGCGGAATCACCTTCATCTTGATCAGCCCCATCAGCTGCAGAAACTGCATCAGATGGCACTTGAGGCAGCTCTTGAAGCTGACCCTTCCTCGCTAGGCGGCGCTCTCTCGCAGATAGTTTTCCGCGTCCTGTAGACTTCGATATCGGCTCAGTGTCAGCTATCGAGCCTTCATCTTCAGGTGGTTCTTCCTTCGCAATCACGCCATTATTTTCCCCAGGTTTTGCATGCTCAGCACCCCCTTTACCAACGACAGGCTCGTCCTCATCAGAGTCTTCTTTAGCATTCCTTGTGGATGATTGAAGAGGATTACTCCTTGGAGCTGCAGCTTCGGACTCGGCATCACTCTCTTCAGTGTGTTCCATCTTCGCATCTGGGAAATCGTCATCAGAGTCTGAATTAATCTTTGCGTCCGGGAACTCGTCATCATCGCTCTCATCAGTCTTCGCAGCTGCTGCTTCTTTGGACTCGTTCGCTGGCTCGTTAGCCATTTCGGCAGCAGAAACTGCAGTCTCCTGCACCCGATGCTTGTGATGGTTCGCCTTGCTTGAATCACTGATTTCAAACATGACTGCAAGTCCAACCACAAGTTGAGCTGGTGGTAAAAACTCTTTCTTTCCCTTGATATTGAACATGCCGGCAGGGAGAAATTCCCCCGTCTGTCCAGTTTTGCTGACTTGATCACTACGGACCCACCATGCTGACATGACCGCCTTCGAGTCCCATGCATCAGATGTACATATACTAAGGTTTCCGGCTTGTGATAAGGTCGATGGTGGAATAGGGGCATCCGGGGTGTCTGGTTTGTTCTTGATGATCATAGGCATGGCGCCTTTCAGGTCTGCATGTACATACACGTCTCCCTTTCGCAGGAAACGACGGTATATGATCTCGTTCTGCTGTGCATCCTTGCCTCCGAGAACCAGGTAGCCGTCTGACGAGATGAAGTAGATGAACTTTTCGAACCAATGCTGTTTGCGCACCGGCCGCAGCACTTCCTTCTCTTGCTTCAGTCCCTTCTTTAAATCTTCAGCTACCTTTTTCTCGTGGCTTTTGAGCGCTTTTGTAGATGCTTGAAGGGTACGGCCTTCTTTGTCAGCAGCCGTCTTCTTTTGGTCGAAATACTCGGTAGAGTTGGCCCAGGCGCTTAAACCAAGATCAATGTCGATAGCTAGTTGTGGTCGTGCCACTGGTTTTGGTAGAGAAGTCTTTCTAGGGCGATCGTCCTCGTCGTCAGTATCCTCGCTCACAGAGCTCGTCTCGTTGCCCTCATCTTCCTCTTCTCCACCTTCTTCCCAATTTGTTTCGTTGAGAAGGAGGGTGATCGTATTCTCATGCAATTTGAGCGGTAATCTGATCAATTGCGCCACGGCGTTACCAGAGTTTTGTTCGCGTTCAATCAAACGCTCAATGTCGACCCAGTCCATGCCTTGCCTGATCAACCCATTTACAGCTTCAGTGGCTTCGGTCACGCGATGGACATTTGCCAAAATTGCTTCTGCTTTGCGAAAGTTCAATTCTTGCACTTGCTGTAGCCCACCGATGCGATCCTCGTGTTCTTTGCGCGCTTTCTCTAGCTTCTTTTTGGCTTGTTGTTCACGTTCTGTCAGTTTCGACTCAAGTTTCTGCCCTTCTATTGACGAAAAGAACTCATCTACTGCCTTGTTGAAACCATCAAACTCCAGGAAAGTATAGTCGGTGTTCTCAAATTGCTGTGGCCGGAAAGGATGAAAGTCATCGTAGAGAAGACGCGTTTTATCAGTAGACTCGTCCTCGGGCTTTGAGGCTGATGGATTGGGCTTTGCGAGAATATAGCCCTTGATCTGGTCGGTCTTTGTGATCTCATCTGTGATTTTTCTTGCGTCTCGTAGCACCTCGACTAGCTTTTCCACGAGCCCATCATCAGCAAGAACCTCTTCCGGTTTCAAGGACGAGTCGTAGCTGGCAACATGAAGCGCATGATCGACCAGTAAAGGAGGGCATTCTGTGATAGAAACAGCGAGGGCTTTTCTTAAAGAATCCTTTCCTGCCTTCTTTGCCTTCTTTCCTGCTGCAACCGGCTGATCCTGCTGTTTGTCGACCGCCTTCTGTAGCGCTTGACGCACTCTCTCATTGGTGAGCTCTGGAGCACCCCCGTAATTTTGGCGCAAGGTAAGATTGTATTTCAAGCCAACCCTAAGTTTCTCATGTTCCTCTCCCTCGTCCACATTTCGCAGAAGCGACAGCACGTTGAGGTCGGCGTCAGTTAGGATGATGTTTCCGCCGGCGTAGAATTCTAAGTAGAGCCGGTACAGTCCATCGGAGAACTGGAACTCCAGAATACGATCGGTGCCTATTTGGGAAATTGACGTGACACGCCTTGTCTTGAGGTACTTGCGCAGTTTTGCGACGAAGCCCGAAGGGGCCGCAGCCGTAGTACGCGCATATTCCGTGAGGTGGCAGCGGAAGCCCGAGTCGATGAGCAGCTGTTCGCGGTGGTCGGGTTTGTGGAACTTGATGAGAAAGATTCTCTACGCATGCGGGAGTAAGCGGATATGCATATCACCGGTTGCGACATGTGCGGTACATACAGAGCTTAGATCGTAAACATTGGTGACTCTGAGAGAAGTAAGTTTGGCAGAAAGCTCATGGGCTATGACCTTGTGAGTCAATTAGTAAATGCTGTTTGTAGTATAACTCGCAACAACTCACCTTGACGTCCAAGCTGGAGAATCTCTGCTTCATGGTTGTGTGTCGTGTGCAGAGTCTGTGGTTAGTGGGGTTCGGGGATTGATGGTGGGATGCGGCGATGACGAAGGTGCTCAAGTAGCGCGATTGCAAGGGTCATGCAAAACGGACCTTTGTTCCTGGCCCAACGCTTACTAAGGGAATCCTCGACACCAGTACATACACTTGTATCACAGCGGCCTGCCTATGGCGTCAGTGGAAGCAGAATACGGTCTTGATTAGGCCTTTTTTCTGGCGTAATGCGCTACCCACTCTATCATGCAGCACGTCACGATTCATAGCATTCGCAAAGCGGCAACTGTATCCTCAACTCCAGCAACGCCATGCCCAAACCAAAGAAGCTCATAGACCCTGCCGTATCCTCTCTGCAAGCTGCCTCTTGCCAAACTCCCACGCATTCAAGAAACCTTGTTCTGAAAGGTCAATGTTCTTCATCGACGTCATGTCTTGCGCCGGGGGCTTGCTAACGCGCGAGGCGACAATGACGGGGTCGGTCTCGAGGATGATGCCGTCGTCTACCAATTCGTCGATAGCGAGAGACTATTGTGGTCAGCCAAAGGAGGGATGCGATGTGTAAGCACAGGGATGCATACCACGAGGTCGTAGTTTTCGATAACAGTGCGCTTGTCAACCGAGTTCCTGCCACGTGTTAAATGGTTACCCAATTCCAGTCCTTCCTATGGCTACGTACTTGAGGAGGATGTTGAGCGAGTCTCTCAGGGCGAGGACAACGCTGGTCAGAATTAGTACTGGGCCAGTCGCCTACACACTCGTTCGACATGACAGTACCTGTAGAGCAGAACCTCGTTCTCATCGGCGCTTCCCACTACATACAACATTACGTCCGACTCCATCTTGAACACAATGACTTTCTGGTCGTATAGTATAATGTCGGTCGTCTGCTTTGCTGTCTTCTCTATAATAGGTGTCAGACCAACATGGGCGCAGCATTGGCCTCGCAGGTACTACACACCCAGAAGTCCCTTCTCGAAAGCCTTTTGGTCCTTAACCGTCTTGTATGCAATCTGGCCGGGGTAGTCGCTCTGTTGGCCGGTCGGTGGGTGCGGGTTGGAGTAGTACTTTGTCAAGATGCGGGAGCCATCGTCGATTGCGAGCACCAGAATCGCCTGGACGCTGAAGAGGGAGAGAGGGCGCGACATGTTGGGTGAGGTTTCTGGGTGTTTGGTCGTGTCGGGCAGTAATGGGGACAAGTAGTAGCTTGTGGATGGGGGGTTTTGGTAAGATAGGTGTCTGCTTGCGGAGAAGCGGCCAATCACGGAGGTCGTGGGCCCTGGGCTTAGCGTGCAGTCTGAACTTTTGACATGTCGGCGGGCGCATCGTCGACATTCACTGTCCGCGACATTGTCCTACTGCCACTCAACCGACATGCACAAAATATCGAGAACGTCGCTGGCGTCTCTCGTCTGCCCATCTGCGCCGTTCCTTGCGCCTCGTCTCCTGCGTACCGCAATCCCTGCCGCCGCCGTCGCAACAACCTCACCATGCCCGCACTTTGCCCGCCTCCAGAGGGCGATGTATGCGACGGCGAAGCAAGCCACAGGCACCCCACGAAAAATTACGACAGAAAAAGGAAAGCGAATGCCTAGGAACCCACCATCCACCGAAGCTGAAGCAAAGGTGAGTCGTACCGATTTCTTGGTCCGGCACACATATTGATGATTTTATTTAGACTGCCCGCCTAGTCAACCAATTCCGGAATGCCTGTGAAGCCCGCAACGTCGAGTTGATCATGGAACTCTATCCGGCACTCATTGCAGCAAATCTCCTCGACAGCTATGACACCCGCCGTATTACACAAGCCCTGCACGTGCGCATACGGAACGAATATGTTCCCAGTAAGCGATCAGATCTCTTTCCCTTCGTTCAGCAAGTAGTTGGCGACATTCGAAGAGGCATTCTTCAGCCGCATCATTATGCCTTCGTCCACCTTTTCGGCATATATAAGGACTGTGCGCGCTGGGATGAGGGGTACACGCTCTGGCAATGGCTAGTCCAGCAAGACGAGCGCTATGTGTCGCAGGCCGCTTACGGTGCTGCTATTGAGCTCATGGCATATGGCGGTATCATGAGACTGCCAGACTTGGAGGAACTGTACGCCGATGGACTGAAGCGCTTCCCTGGTACATTCGCAGAGTACCATCTGTCACCAGACGCAGTCGTTCCCGACAGGACTCAACTCACTACCATTGCCGGCATTCCCACTATTCTGCTGCAAGGCATCCTCACTGCACGAATACTGGCTCGCGACTGGAAAAGGGCGTACCTGGCCTTGGACACTGCACTGCGCATTTTCCCCACCCAGACCCCTCCGCGCTATTTTGAGCTATTCATGACTGAGAGGCCGGTCAACGAGGCATATACAGCATTTATGCTAGCTTGCCGTGCTGGCATATGCCTGAGACCAACCCACGTTACTGCTCTCCTCACAAAACTGCGCGCTGCTATGGGTGCGTCTCGTTCCATGGCTGATAGCGTGATGCTCCTCCGGGCCATTGCAAACGCTATATATGGCTATTTGGAGGCTGGTGGACAGCTTCAAAGTATCCATGTTGGCTCATTTCTCCGCTCTTTTGAGCTAATACTGCCTGAACCTGCTGCTGGTGAGGATTATATTGGAGAAGCAGCAGAAATGCGCAACATCTTAGTGGTAACTGCGCACGAGATTGTATCAAACCTTATTCAGGCTGGTATGCCTCCTCAAATTCAGCCGTTTGAAGCTCTCGTCTCGATATCTGGCAAGCTACGCGTACCAAACTTACTCGGCACTACCCTGGAAGATATCCAAGCAGCCGGTCTTGAACTTGGGGCAATCGGAACTCGCAGCGTCGTCACATCTGCTGGCCTTCTTAAGAACAAAAATTTGATCGAAGAATATTGGCAGAAAATCGTCTCAACTGCGGAAAAGAATAGTACGATAATACCTTTTGAAGACTGGATTACTTTCACAAAGGCTTGCCGAAGGGCCGACCATGCAGACTACTTCCGTGGCCAGTTGTTGAAGCTTCCACACGCTATTACAGAGAGAATTGAACGTGTCATTATTCAGCAAATCGACCTACCAGAACCCCCATCTTCCAGCCTAGACTCAAGCCAATCCATGACTCTTGAGCAGCTGCAATCCGAACTTTCACTCCTCAAGACCCAAATGAACAACATCGAAACAGCCGTAATGTCCGGCCAACCACTCGATCTTCGCACAACCCCTTTCTATATGCACATTGACCCCGGGTACCCCTCTCTCGGCACCGAAGAAGACTTACGGCAAATTTACGACAACTTTACAACCGACCCCCACCAGCCTCCGCCCCCGCCGCCCGCAGACGGCTCCCCCATCCGTGCAGCCCTAAGCCCAACCGGCATACCGCTAGACGATCTCCGCTTCCGCAACTGGGTCACGATCCACGAAATGATGGACTCTGCAGAGTCCTACGAATCCGACCTCCAATTCGCCCTCGACGCCGCCATCAAAGCCGGCGAGCCCCTCAAGGGCGCCCCCGAAATCCTCCGTCTGCGCAAAGAAAACCCCAAACTCCTTTCTGGCCAGGATTTAGCAACTAGGATTAGAGAGTTGCGAACCAGTAATTCGGATGCTGCTAGGTTCTTTAGGAAAGTGGGGACAGAAGGTGCGCAAGTTGAGGCGGAGATGAGGTTGCGCAAGCATGTAGCAAAGGATGAGGGCGAGAGCGTTGTTTCTCTTGGAAAGGGAACGCCGAGATTGGTGTATTATGTTGGGTTGGAATCGGATCAGGGAGCGCCTAGTGCTTCTAAAGGGCGGACTAAGGTTCGGAAGGTGAAGATTTCGGATGGGAAGGGTGGAGAGGGTATTGAGGAGTAGATGAAGTACAGTGGCAGGGGCGATGGGAAACGGATTTTTGCTCGTGGGAACTTGACTTGGTTCCAAAAAGCGTGTAGATAGATACCCTTGGTGTATAGTTTTGTAAAACAATGTATTACGAATCAAAAATACTGTACTTATATCCAGCTACTACCATTTTCCACTTCCTATAACCGTCACATTAAAGGAAGATAACACATTTCTCTGCTTAGACTACTCGCACGAGATGGTACCCTCAAATTTTGTTTCAAAATGCAAAGACGAAAAGAAATGGAAAAACACGTCGATATCTTTACCCCCCAGTATTAAAGTCAAACTGAAACTCGCCCTCATCGCCCAGCATACCAGGATCATACATACCATTTCCCGCCGTAACGAGACCCTCAAACTGGCCCCAACTAGCCAGATCCGACCAGTCGAACAGATCAGGTCCGAACACAGGAGGGTTGTACAGAGTATCCTGAAGACCTGGTATAGAAGATTGATTCGCGGGGTCGGGCTGGGGTAGGGGCTGGGGAAGTAGAGTGGGACGCTCGGTGTCGAGGTTTGTAGATGATGAGGGGACCTGTGTAAGATTAGCAGTGCAGATTCCATCTCTGCATCTCAGCCTCTGTTGAAAACATACCTCATCCGCACCCTGCGCACCTGCCGTTTCCACTGGACTCAACAGCCTCGTGGATTGCCGTTCAGCCTCGACTCTCAGTTCCTCTAGCACGAGACAGTACCTGCGTGCAAGACAATCTGTATCTCGCACTGTTTCTAGCTGTTTCTGGCATGCAACACCCTTTTCGTAGTAGCCTTCGCTTTGGACGTTGTTCTTGACACCGAGACCCTGCTGGATGCGATGGATGTACAAGACGACAACGGCACAGAAGGCGTAGTATTGTGTGAACCAGAAGGAGCGGAAGAGATTGGATGATGTGAAAACATCGTTTACTACACGGGTAATCGCCATGGCGGCTTCGAGGCACGCAGTTATGTTGGGGGTTGTGTCGTATGTCTTGTTTGGATTGGTGCCCCAGTTGGGGTGTGTAGGCATATGTGTTAAGCTTGCAAAGTCTCTAAGTAAGAAGGGACGATGGATGAGTAGGATCGCATGGTGATATGCTAGGTTCAATACTGAGCGCTGGCGTTGGAATATCGGGATTAACGATTGGCTTTCAATGCTTCCTTGTGGACTGGAGCCCGCTAGAAACCCAGATAGCGAATTACGCCATGCATGCAGATCTGCGGTGTATTTCGCTGAAAGTTCAATGCGTCTTCCTAGGCTTGGAGGCCTAATGGAATAGAGGTCTCGAAGAACAAGTGATACGATTCGAGTTAGCTTGATGTGCTCAACTGGGGCAGTCATGATGGAATGGGCGTGTGGAGGGGTCGGTCTAATATACGATTGAAGGAGGTCATTGTCATTGACAATGGTTGGAAGTTCCTTGATATCAATATTAGCAAAGTGAAATGTCCCTGATAAGGAAAGTGCCTACCTGGTCGATGTCTTCATCTTTGAAAGTCCGTGGGCGACCAAGAGCAGCAGCGAGGTACTTGTCAAGAGAGTACGCGCACCAAAAGACTCGTCTTCGACTTTCGAGCTCCACATAGTCGCTGGTTGTAGGGTCGCATCTCCTACCGCGATTCAAGCCGATGGCAAGCATCAAATGTGAGAGCGTACCGAAAAGGCTCCAGCAGTGGTTTATCCGTGATTGTGTTAGAAGGTAGAAGCATTGCAACAGCCGTGCTTGTACACTTGCCAATCTGACAGCACCACGTTCTTTCGATAGCTGGTGTTCAGATGCAAAGAAATAGCGGGCACTACGCCTCATCAGTTCGGCACTAAAATCAGGACTAAGACAAATCTCACCTATTCTCTTGTATAGTACTACCTGGAGGCATATAGGCTTGTGCTTGTGCAAAGACTACCATTAGGAGCGCCGCCTTTGCCTTACCATCCTCCCTACCTCTTATTTCACCGAGTGTATCGTAAAACTCATCTAGCAATTTCTCGATACTTGGCCGATGCAGAAACCGGTGGGTGGGAGCAGCATAGTCAAAATACCGTTCTACGAGCCTTTGCGCGTCAGACTTGGGTGGGAGGAAGAACAGGGATTGGTCAAATTCTGGCAGCGGAGCATCTCCAAATGTAAATATTGTCGAGTCATGAGAGAGTGAAGAGCTTTGATGAAGACGCCTCTGGATACGGATAAGAAAGGATACAGCACTTGAAGAGCCAACATAGTGGCCTTCTTGGTCTCTTTGCCCCCCTTGTGGTACTGGGGAATCTCTGGTAGAAGAACGGTTGGTATACTCGGTAGTCATAGTGAGAGTGCTGGGATTGGCATTGTTGGTATGGGTAAAGGTCGGCGCCTCCATGGGAGAAGAGGGGCTTGGGTATATTCGTGGGTATTGTATCGCGGAAGCGGCTGGTTCTCCTGCTGGAGAAGCCTCGGATGTTGAGATCTTTCTGACTACTTGGGTTTGTGGGTCCAAGGCCATTGCAGCCTCATCGACAATTACTGATGGAAGCCTTCCTCGCGTATATGATGCAGTGAATTCACAAGGCAAGCCTGACTTTAGACATAACGCGCACGGGCATCTCCCTGTGCACCTTACTTTTTTCCTGTATGGAATGTTAGTGTATGTACTATAACGCACGTCACGTGCACGCTGGTTATCCTCAAGCTCACTTCTTACATCGGTCACAAGCCCTACTGACCCTACTCCTTTCTTTCTCCTCTCTTCTCCTTTTTGCGGTCGCCATTTGGCGGTCGCCCGAGCCTGCATTGTTCGGTATGGCTGTCGCTGTGGCGTCAATGCTATTGGTAGACGTCCACGTGGACGATCCATGCCTCGAACTGTTGCCCGGGGAGCACCCCTGATGTGGGCTAACGTCCTCCATAGTTGGGGATGACAGAAAGGCTTGGTTACCAGACGTTTCCGAACGTTTAAAAGGCGGAATCAGGAGCTTCAGGCCAGGTCGGATAAGAGCTGCGAAAATAGCCGGATGTGCCGGAAAAACTATGCACTAAGCCGGAAAGGGTATCGAGGGAACATGACTGTGCTACCACATGTACGAAGTCTTGAAGTTATTACTATTTGGATCTAGATTTTACTCGATTAACTAAGTTGCAGTAGATTATTGTCGTTTCAGGAGTGGTGAGTTCGGATAAATCCTCCTCCAAGTACATACATATGCTTGTGTAGAACGCTATCTGCCACCCGCTGCGAGCTGTTCACAAATGCGCTATCTTCATTATTGCTGGCACAATGATACATTTTTACTTTACTAGGATATTCATGCCGCACTTTGGTTAGACAACGTAAGAACTATTTAGTATGTGGGAGCATCTAGACTACATCTTCAAAACACACATCTTTTCAATACCGTCGTTATTTTGTGCTGTTGTGAGCAAATTTTTTATTTATTTTGATCGTGAGACAATAAAGTAAGATAAGGAAGAAACGGGTCAGACGAACAACTGAAGCGTGCCACATGTGTTTGTAGTAGAGCTGTCTGCGAATTGTGCTGATGTGCGATGGGGAGCCATACATGGCTTTGGCCGGAGATATGTCGGCTTTGCCGGCATCGAAACTTACTGTGCAAACTATCTTTTAGGCATGAACTTCACAAAAACGCCGGAGATAGTAAGTACAGGACGAGGCAGACTCCGAACGAACAAGGGTCAAATGCAGGGATGATGCTAACAAGCTTAGTCGGGCATGGAAGCCGGTAAGAATTTTGCAATGCCCGGTCAAGACATGGTACGATTCACCGAAAACCGCACCGACGGAATGTTTTTTTAAGTTCCATACAAATGCCACCAGGGTAGTGCCTAAGGTATGCCAAGGTGTCGGATACTATGGAGCCATCTCTTGCGTGCTTGCCCAGGCTTGGTTGGAGCTGAGATAGTCCGGTGGGTACCCCCATGCAAACTCTTAGCGAGATGATGCTGTCGAGCAGTAGTCCAAACTTGATTGCAATGCGGGCGTTGTTCTGTAGTACAACACGTATGGAACATAGTAGAATGTTGCCTGAAGTAATGGTCTATCTCTTGAATCCCACATGTGTTATCTTGGTAAGTGCCTAGAATATTCCGTAATCGAAATGGAAGGTGCGGAGTAGAAAGGACCCTGCCATAAGGCCGTGGGTGGGGCTATCCAGTGGTTGTTGAGTCCCGTGACTATCAATGCACCCTTGGCACCGCAAGTCAAGCCACTCAGTGTATGGAAGTGGCAGGGAGGAAATCAAGAGGCCGCCTTGGAGCCAGGCCTGGCGGACACCCTGGACAGCACCCGCCCGACAAGTCGATAACAAGCTTCACCGTTGGACAAGAGCAGTGACGCGCCATCAGCTGCTTCTCTTCGAACTGACCTTGGCGCAGATTTCAATGCATCCAGCTCTTGGCTGAGAGGTTGGGTGAATGCTACTAGCAGGCTCTGCCGTTTGGTAGGCTTGGAAGCCGGCCCATATGACGTTGGATCTGTGGCGTAAGTGTGGTTCTGGAGCGGATCTCGGCACCGTCTGCGGGCACGCCGAGAGTTTAGTTTTGGCTCGGCGGACAGGAAGCGAGCGGGAAGCTTGGCTCGCCCCAGTTTGCGCGCCACTCCATTCACCCTCCCCCCGCCGGTGAACGCTCGTCACCAACCCCGCTGTCGTCATACTTGATAAAATCTCACATCCAGAACATTCAAGCCGGATTGTGGTCAGACGTATTGGGCACAGTATCCATGGCCACACGCACCGCAAGATGGTGGGTGCCATGGCAAGGCGGCTCTGATGCATATGTAATGTACGTAGGTGAATGCATGCAGCCATGCCGCACATTGTTGGACACTGCCGACCCCGAAGGTGACGTCCTTGCACCGGCCCCAAGATATCTCCAACCATGCCAAGATGTCGATATCGCACGGTTCTTGGCTTTCGCCATGCGTGTGCCGCTTGCATCTCTCCCCACGGGTGCTTAAAGGTAGCAGAGCCCCCGCAGCGGGAATGCTTGACTCCTCACCTTTCTTCTTAGCACCCAGAAGCAATCAAAATGGGCAAGAAGCAACCCTCCCTCGAGGGCCACAAGTCTGGCCAGGCTAACGACCCCCTCTCCAAGCCCGCCCACGCCCTTACCTGGAAGCAGGTGGTTGAGGAGGTCAAGTGCAATGCTGAAGACGGACTTACCACTGCCGAAGCAAAGTCTCGACATGAAAAGTATGGCAACAATGATCTCGGCGACGATGGAGGAGTGTCGCCGGCCAAAATTTTGCTAAGACAGGTCGCCAACGCTATGACACTGGTAGGTCAATTGCCATCACTGCGAATCAGAGACGGTGAAGGCTAACCCAACGCAGATTCTAATCGCAGCCATGGCTGTCTCATTTGCTATTGAATCATGGATTGAGGGTGGTGTAGTAACTGCCATCATCCTGCTCAACGTTATCATCGGATTTGTGCAAGAGTACAATGCTGAAAAGACCATGGACTCGCTCCGATCCTTGTCTTCGCCTACTGCCACCGCTGCCCGAGACGGAAAAACGGTTACGATCCCGACTATCGAGGTAGTCCCTGGTGATCTTATCGAGTTGAAGACAGGTGACACTGTCCCAGCGGATATTCGGTACGTCATTGCCACGCTAAACTCAATTTTGGGGAACACACTACTAACACGCACACAGCATCATTGAGGCTTTGAACTTCGAGACCGACGAGGCCCTGCTTACCGGAGAATCACTCCCTGTATCTAAAGATGGCGATGCCGTCTTTGACGAGGATACTGGCCCTGGCGACCGTCTTAACATTGCCTACAGTTCCTCGACTGTCACCAAGGGACGTGCTCGCGGTGTTGTTTTCGCTACTGGCATGCACACTGAGATTGGATCTATCGCCATGTCCCTTCGACAGAAGGGTTCGCGTGTCCGAGAGGTCAAGCGCAAGCCCGATGGAAAGGCTAAGCCGCATCGCTATGCCCAGGCCTGGTCGTTGACTCTTGCTGACATGGTTGGCCACTTCCTTGGTGTTAACGTCGGCACTCCACTTCAAAAGAAACTCGCTCGCCTCGCGATCCTCCTGTTTGGCGTTGCAGTCGTCTGCGCTATCATTGTACTTGCCGCTAATAGCTTCTCGAACAACAGCGAAGTTATCATCTATGCGGTTGCTACTGGTCTCTCTATGATCCCGGCTTCTCTTACTGTCGTCCTAACCATCACCATGGCTGCTGGTACAAAGCGCATGGTGCAGCGTCACGTAATTGTGCGCAACTTGAAGTCTCTCGAGGCTCTTGGTGGTGTTACCGACATTTGCTCCGACAAGACCGGTACCCTTACACAAGGAAAGATGGTTGCGAAGAAAGCCTGGATCCCCGCCAAGGGAACTTACTCTGTTGGACAGTCTGACGAGCCGCACAACCCTACTGTCGGGGCTCTGTCGTTCAACCCCAAGCAACCCCGACACATTGACGCTGACATGGACGAGAAGACTTCGACCTGGGAGGAGCTTCTCCAAGACAACCCGCATTTTGTAGACTACCTCAAGGTTGCATCACTTGCTAATCTGGCCCACGTTCACCAGACTGACGAGGGCCAATGGAATGCACGAGGTGACCCCACGGAAATCGCTATCCAGGTGTTCGCATCTCGCTTCAAGTGGAACCGTCTCGAACACACCGGTGGTGACACACCTGCTTGGAAGCAACTAGCTGAATTCCCCTTCGACTCCGACGTTAAGAAGATGTCTGTCATCTTCGAAGAAACTGCTACGAACAAGAAATATGTCTTCACCAAGGGTGCCGTTGAACGAGTCATCTACTCATGCACACGCGTATTCACCGACGAGAACGATGCTGGCGTTGAGCTGGACGACGACTACCGCGAGGAGATTTTGGCCAACATGGAATCGCTCGCCGCCATGGGACTGCGTGTCTTGGCTCTCGCAAGCAAGGAATATGATGGACCTTCCCCTCAAAAGGGCGAGGAAATAGCACGTGAGGGAATCGAGCAAGATCTCATCTTCCGTGGTCTCGTCGGTTTGTATGATCCCCCTCGACCTGAAACGGCCGGCTCTGTTCGTCAGTGCCAGAAGGCGGGCATTGAAGTCCACATGCTTACTGGTGACCACCCTGGAACTGCTCGCGCCATTGCTATTGAAGTTGGTATCGTGCCATCGAACATGGGGACTCTTCCCAAGGAAACGACGGACGCCATGGTCATGACTGCATCTCAGTTCGACAAGCTCACCGACGACGAAATCGATGCTCTCCCACTTCTCCCACTTGTCATTGCTCGTTGCGCCCCCAACACCAAGGTCCGCATGATTGACGCACTCCACCGACGAAAGGCTTTCACCGGTATGACTGGTGACGGTGTCAACGACTCTCCATCTCTCAAGCGCTCGGATGTCGGTATTGGAATGGGTACTGGATCCGATGTCGCCAAAGACGCCTCTGATATCGTTCTGACCGACGACAACTTTGCATCTATTCTCAACGCTATCGAGGAGGGCCGCCGCATGTTTGACAACATCCAGAAGTTCATTCTGCACTTGCTCGCCCAAAACATTGCGCAAGCATGTGTGTTGCTGATTGGTCTTGCGTTCAAGGATGAGAGTGGACTTTCCGTCTTCCCTGTCTCTCCCGTTGAAGTCATGTGGATCATTATGATTACCTCGTCGCTTCCCGACATGGGTCTTGGTTTCGAAGTTGCTGCACCAGATATTCTCAACAGACCTCCACAGAGTGTAAGTTTCCTGCTGCTAAACAAGATATTTCCTGGGTATTTACTGACAAGCCACAGCTCAAGCGCGGTGTTTTCACCCTCGAGGTCATCTGCGATATGTTCGTCTACGGTCTCTGGATTGCTGCACTCTGCCTAGGCGCCTTCTCCCTTGTCATGTTCGGCTTTGGCGATGGCAACCTGGGATTCAACTGCAACGAGACGTACAACCCCACTTGCGAGACCGTGTTCCGCGCCCGTGCGACTACTTTTGCCTGCCTTACCTGGTTCTCAGTTTTCCTGGCATGGCAAATGTTGGACATGCGCCGCTCGTTCTTCATGATGCAGCCTGGATCGAACAAGTACTTCACGCAATGGGCCCGCGACGTCTGGCGCAACAAGTTCCTCTTCTTCTCAATTGTCTTTGCGTTTGTCACCATCTTCCCCGTTCTGTACATTCCCGTCATCAACGACAAGGTGTTCAGGCACAAGGGAATTAGCTGGGAATGGGCTATTGTCTTCATTGCCACATTCCTCTTCTTCCTCGGGATTGAGTCGTGGAAGTGGGGCAAGCGAGTCTACTTCAGGAGGCGCGAGGCAAAGAATGGTGGTGGAAGGAGGGGCTCCATTGATCTGGAGCAGCGTGTGTTTGAGCGATACCTCAGCACAGCCATTAGCACCGATGAGGATGCGGCAGACAAGAAGTCGTCTGCTTAGGCGTGCAAGTGAACGATTTGGAACTATGATACCAATGCTATGTCTTTATTTGGATTTTGAATTTATTATGGCAGAGGGCAATCTGCAAAGGGGAGTTTGAATTTGTTTGCATAGCATGCGATTACGATGATACCTTGGGCACCCTGTGCTGGGACAGATGAGATTTTCTAGTTATATTACGTACATAGTAATCAAGACATGATAAACAACAATAGTATTGGACTCCTACACCTTTGTGACTGAGGGCGTTGATACGACTGCGGGTTCGTTTACTCCGTACATACAGCATAGCAGCGGTAGAGTATGGTGCCCACTCTTATGCCGAAGATAACCATAGTAATCAATCAGCTTGGCCGTATGCCAATATATCCTCGAGTTAGTTCATTGGCCTAGGACTGCTTCTTCTCAAACCTTGTGTAGCCGTGCAGTGGGCTGCTGCTGGTTAGGCGTCCCACCGTGATCCACAGGTGGCCTTTTGGACTCGGTTACGCGGGTGGGATGGCTTGGCATTTTTTCCGCTCCACTCCGAACCAAGGCCGATAAAGTGGGTCCTCTGAGCGCCCAGGGATCGCTAACAGCCAAATCGCATCTCAGGCTTCTTCTGGCAAACGTCAGCCCAGCCAGCCGAGACTGCGCACTATTGAAGGCCCAAGACAAGGCAAGGGTGGGTGTGTGGCTGGTGGAGCGGAGTTGTCTTGGACATGCGGATTGATATAAGAGGAGGTATCAGCTGCATGTCGAAACAAGACCTGACAGATGTTTATCTCGAGGATCAACGTGACATGACAAGGCGTAGCGCTGTCACGGCAATAAATCCCCGGGCTAGGAGTGTCCAGCATACTGACTGTGTGTAAGCCCACTGCGCCCACTGCAGAGTTGCGCGGGTTGCCGAGTTTGGCCATCAGTAAGAAAATAGCCACCACACGGTCAATACGACCAACACGACCGTATGCGGTCGAGTGGCTTGCAGACCGGTCACTTATATACTGTGTGGTCGAATAGGGCTAAGAACCTGGAGAGCGAAGCTGACAATGGACGACGTGGCTTTGGAGGCTGTGTGGATGGAGATGTCATACACCCCAGGTGGAGCCTCGGATAAGATCAAGTCCGGGGTCCTATGTCTCTTAGGTCATAACCCATTGCGAACCTCCCCACCTGCTCACCCAAACCCAAACCAAACTCACCTTGTCACCCGCCGGCTACCGCGGAAATAGCAACAAAAAGGGCATTTTGCACCTGGTCCACGACCAAACGACTTATCGCCAGGGTATTCCATCTCGAGGCCATCGGTTGCACGCGCAATCCATTCCTGCCGACTTAGCCGCTTGCGTCAGTTCCGTCGCCCTGCGTTCCCCGCAACGTGCCTCTCCACCTGCATCGCTTTCTCTCCGATCCGATACCAAGACCAAGTAGACCGCAACTTGCCATGCCAGCAGTTTCTGGTGAGCACGATGTGCATTTTCTCCATGCGCGAGAATGGCAAAAGACTGTCGGCAACTCGGGCATGACGCCTACTGCATTTAGCTTCTTGATTCCTGTATTTGTCGTGGCCATCATAGCGCCTTTGTAAGTATTTCCAAATCTAGATAACCACCCCATCTCTATGCGAATCACCGTCTTTGGCGGGCGATTGTAAAACGAACTATTCCGACCAACGGTCAATATATGAGACGTTTGGGTTAATTGAATGGACAGTCTATGCATCTTTTGCATTCGCAAACGACGGCGAACACAGATTCCTGTCACAACACGGCTAACAACAAAAGTCAAGAAGCCTGCGCTTAGACGAGAAGAAGCAAGAGAAAAGCTTAAAGAAGTCACTGAGATATCTTCGCAAGCAAGCGATGTTGGAGAAGAAAACCGAGAGAGGCCCGAAGGAGAATCCCAGTCTATATCCGAGAAAGAATGGTATGCCAACCCATCATTCCGCATAGCATTGACATGAATTCTGACACACCCATCAGTGCCATATGTCTCTCAGCCCTCTACCCACCATCGCTGCCAGAGCCTGCGAAACTCTCACCAGAAACACCTAATGCCGACACTCCCGCACCTTCGTCCGTGACATCCGATCAACCTCCATCCACCAGCCCAACCACCACCACTGCCACCCCTCCCACCTCCACCCCCCAATCCGACTCGGAACCCATCCTTAAACTCACCGTTTGCTCCCATGAGTTCCACGCTGAATGTCTCGTATCCTGGTTCGTCCTGCGCAAAACCAGCTGCCCCATCTGCCGCTCCATGTACATGAGCAAAGAAGAAATGGACAAATACGACGAGGAAGAGCAAATCGCCCTCGGCGGCACTCCCTCTACCACCGTCGCAACGCCCACTCCGGATCTCGAAGCGCAGCAGACGGCAGCGCAGCCGGAAGCAACGGCTACGGTGCGCAACTGGCAGTACTTTTTGTACGGCCGTGATGCATATCGGCGGGCGAGAGAGAGACAGACTGGGGCGCAGACGCAGAGTCAACCTGCCGTCGAGATGCAGACTCAGTCTGCGACTGGTGGCGAGGAGAGCCAGCAATCTGATACTGAGGCTGCGCCTGTGCATGCTGAAGCGACAACACAGCAATCGGAGCAGCCGGCTAGATCAAGATGGCAACGATTGTTCAGACGGGGCTGATATCGTTCCACCACTGCGACATGACCGATACGACCTCGACCTTTGACGAGAAATTTTCACGTTTACCTATTGTACATCGTTCTTTCCTCCTTTCCCTCTCCCTCTTCCTCTCGTTCTTTTCTGGGAATTCTATACTACAAATGGGTTGTATGTGAATATATGGTTTCGGCGGATATACATCGTGTTTCGTTTTTTTTCTACTCACAGTTTGCACAGAGTTTGAGATACCCAGAAATGGTCTTTTTCTTCTTCAAAGGGAATATTCTTTTTGCTACGATTAGGTGTTTATCGTTTTTATGGAAAGTCAAGAGTAAATACTGGGTATATGGTACAGAATGTATTATAACGCACATATGGAATAATGATATTTCTTACCAAAGGAAAAATCAAGTGTTGTATTAGGGCTTGCACGCAAACTTGATTGAGATGATTGAAAAATTACCTTCACACAGAAAACACCAAGGATTCAAGCCAATCATACATCTATTATTGACACATGGACAAAATGGGGGGTATTTAGGTGAACAAAGACAAAAATCCCACCACCATCTACCAATAACACCAATATCTACCATCTAATTCAAAAAGGCCTTTTTTCTTCACCACATCTACTCCTTTGGTTTAAACACACGATGCCTAGCCAACAACTGCGAAATCATAAAATGCGATACGTCCTCGTCCGCCCAATACGTCATGTGACTAGCAATACTAGCCAGAAGTGAAATGTCAAAAGCCTATATTGTCTCAATGTTAACACGCATGATACCGAAGCAAATGAGAGACACAGGGTACTTACACCTTCCTGGATACTATAATCCACTCTCCCATTTGAATTCAACCGGCGCACTTTTTGTTCCTCCTTTTTCAGCTTGCGGCTTCGTTCCTCAAGCTCCTGCCACTCAAGATCCTTTTCAATGTCGTGTTCGCCGTCGTCTGTCTGTTGGCTCTTTCTGCGTTTCTGGAAGCCGGCAAAGAGGGTTTCAATGTCGGATTCGATCAGGGTGGGTGGATGCTCGCCGTCTTCGCCCTCGGCAATGGTTTCTTGGCCGAGGCGGCGGCGGCGTTCTTCGCTGATGAAGGCGCTCGTGGGCTCGTTGAGACCTGGGACGAGGTTTACGTTGCCGGAATTGGGAGCAGCAGTCAAGGGGCGAGAAGATCTTTGGCCTTGGGCGCTGCCGGTCATGTCGGATCCTGAGATGCCCAGACTTCGGTTGAGGAGTCCGCTTGCAATGCCTGTAAAATATTTCGTTAGCATAAAAGAAAACTCTGGGCCATTGTTGAAGAATCTAGCGTTGATCTCCAAACGTCGACTTTTGGATTAGATCGACACTTACCTGAGCCGAGTGAGGTCCAGAAGTCTGTCACACCCTGACCAACCCGTTGGCCAATGCCAGTGATACCCTGAGCGGCTGGCGTTCCGAAAATGCCCTTTTTCGTATATGGTAGGGGTTGCGCCTTCAGAGTGGACATGGCGGGTGATATCAAAGGTTCAAGACGATAGCTAATGGGATCGGTTGGGTGGAAGATGTTGAAAACCTGCTTGCAAAGTGGCGAGGAAGTTGTTATATCGAAAGCATGCTCATCAACTTCTGGCGCAAATGGGTCATCAATAGGCGTCGCAGGTGTTACCGGTGGGACAAAGGTAGATGAAGCAGCTTGTGGTCTTCCAGCAATCGTTCTTCCCTTGAGCATCTGGAAAAGTCCGATAGGCGATCCAAGGGCATAGAAATCCTCTACTTCAAAGTCCAGTTTCAGGCCTTCTTCAGTTGATCGCCGTTGTTTGGCTGATTGTGAACTTGGTTTCGCCTTGGGATCTTTTTGCATGCATAAAACATCAAACATGATAGCAGAACCAAGTGAGTGGCCAACAAGACTGACCTTACCCTTGAAAGAAGGGTTGCGCTCCTTGAAAAGGTGGTAGGCACGGTTGAGTTCCTTGACAACGATTCGCGAAATATGGCCTTTGTATGCGGGGCTTTGATATAGTAAAATGTCAAGAGCGAGATCTGTAAGAAAGTTACGAACGGCAGGAACACCTTCAACGGTAATATCCTCAAGGTTAGGGTACTCTTCGTCTTCATGGTCGAGATCGCCCAAGTCATGTTCCTTGCGATTATGCTTGAGACTCTGTTTTGGGAAATCTAGAAGGTGTCGCCAAATGATGGGAATGCACTGGATACGGTTGTTCTTGGTTGTTGACTCAACCTCCGCATTGAGAGCCTGTAGGTCGGGTGAAGCTGCATAAACAGACTTGAGAGATTTACGCATAGTGTTCACGTCATGGATGAAGTTGATTGACTCCATGCGCATGCCAAGTCGTTGCCCGATACCATGGGTGACCAGAAGCAGGTGCTCGATTTCACGGCCTTGGTCACTGTCGTTCTGAGCCTTGTAATCCTCGCGCATCTCCTTTTCCTCACGTTTTCGCATTGCCTCTTCCTGCTGCTGCTCATACTCGGGTTTCGATGATGTCAATAGTGAGGATACCTGTCTCTCCAGATTGCGTCTGCGCGTTTGCGAAGGTGACATGCTCCTTTCGTTCTCCGATGTGTCTTCGTCAGTATTAGCATCCGAATCCGACTGCTTGCCATGATCTGAACCATATGCCAGAGACGGAGTCTCGGGTCGCCCGCTCGGCTTTGCGCTCTGAGGGCCTTTGGTCGGAGCCGGCTGCTTCTTCTTGTCTGCCGGGTCCGTATACCCGCGAATGTATTTATTTCCAGCATAATGTGCGCCTCCAGCAAAGCGTTGGTACAACGTGCTACCCATACGTGACCACATATCGTCCGTCAGCAGCCATGCTGTTGTCTCATCTTGATAAGTCACAGTCGAATTCAGATGGGCACCGAAAAGGCGATGCGTCCTAGGCAGGTCTGCGGGGGCATTTGAATTTGTAGCAGAATCTGCTGGTTTTGCGTCTTCGGCCTGATTTTCAGCTTCCTTTTTCAGACTATCGTATGAAGACTTTGGTGTTACAGGATTCGATGTCGAGTCACGGTTCAGCCGGCCCAGCTCTTTTCGGTGGTCTTCACCAGCCAGCGGTCCCATGGACAGCGGTCTTGCGCGAGGCTGCGAAACTGCTCGCTTCTCCTCTGGTTTGCCAAATTTCCACGGCTTGACTTTTAGATAGCCTTCCTCGAGCTGCATAGCCAGACCCTCGTCAACAGCTTCGCCATCTGGTGTAAACCACGTTCCTCGTTTGACATCGTACACCGGCCCCAGCCAGTATGCTGGTGCCAACTCGCGTGTTTCTATCTCAACATCGAATAGATAGTCCTCGTTGACAGGAACCTTTGTAGTCTTGGGTGCCACGGGATTTGGTTGAATGGGCGTCGAAGGGCTTCCAATTCCTTTTCGCAACTCGTCCATATCCGCTTCGTCGGCTGTTTTCTGAAATGCTGTCTCGATAGCGCGCGAATCACTGGCACTAAAGGGTATCCACTTCCTAGGCTTAGGCAGGGCGGTATCGGGCGCCATGGCATGCTTGGAGAGGGGTTTCCTTTTCGGAGTCTGCGATTGTCAGTGGAAGAAGACATGGGACGACTCCTCCGAAACTCCTGCGCAAGACTCTCAGTACATCGGTGTACTTACGTCTATGGCATGGAACCATCTCACGGCCAGCGGAGGGCAGTCCTGAGGATAGCGCTTGAGGCTCAGCCGGTGCCTGCGATCGATAATATGGTCGCCTCCTTGCTGGGGAGCAAGCCCAGTCGCGATACGCTCCTTCTCCTTCTCTTGCTCCATCTTCTTCACTTTCTCCACACCTGCATCGGGCTTGGGCGTCGATGGAGGCTTGGGGGTGCCGGCACGAGAGGACCACGGTGAGAGATTTGAGAGGAAGCCCTGCTTGTTATCAGGGGCAGACATCCTGTCGACTGGCGGATTGCTCCCGCCCACGGAACGTAGTGTGGTGAGCCAGGACTGGGCGCGGTGTGGTGCAGCTTGGGGAAAGACGGGCTTCAGGCGGGGTGGGCGACAAAGCACGCGAAGAGCAATGCGTGGATGCAGCGTGGAAGCAGCGTGGAAGCGAGGTAATGGCGGTGAGAAAAGCAGAAACGAAATAAAAAACGAAGAATAGAAACGGGTAAGTAGGTAATGGAGAGAGGTCAGGTCATGGCATGTGCGTGTGCGTGTGCACTGAGTTGAAGCATGTCTTGCATGTGCCTGCCGCGACATAAGCCCGCGACCCGCCTGTTACATCACTCATTCCAGCCCCCTGTCGCTTCCCAACACGCGGGGCACCCATGAGCCCATCTGCATCCTTGATCATCTCCGAATAGCACCGCCATTGCACCCTCAAACCACCGCCATGGCGATCTATACGCTGGCTGACCTATATGTGCCCCCACGGCGATCGTCCTCGATCCCTCGTCAGTACCACCGCATGGCCGCCGCAGCGCGACAGGACCACCGCTTCTCTCTCGCCGATGCAGCGGACCTGAAGCCCAAACTCCAGGCCCTGGACAAGTCCCTAGCTGGCACATGCACCGGCCACAGCAGGGAGCTGGATTTTACCAGCATCGATGATGCAGTTAACATGCAGCCTCCTCATGTTGCCGTCTACGTCGACGGCTCAGAGGAATTTTTTCTCATGGTGAAGACTATCTCGCGACCAGACCTCATCCCCAAAGTCTTGGCCGAAGCAATCAAGGCCATGTCCCAGGGCCGGCCATATGTAAATATACAACGCACCTCAGACTTCAAAAAGGGCGCAGATCCTACTTTCTCCGACTTCCGCCCTATGCTGCCAGACATTGATCGCCTATGCGGAACTGATCTTGCCGGCGTCGTCGCCAGGCTCGAAGCTCAAGGCAAGCTGAGGGTTCCGTCCAGAGAGCAATTACGTGCCTGTACTGACATGGCACAGTCGCGCCTTTTCCCTTTTTGCGACTTCCAGCTGAGCTTCGCCTGCAGGTGTACTCGTACGTTCTGCCTGAACACCCTCGCGGTATTCTCCCGCCCTGGTGTCGCAAAAGCAATGGCCGACGCCTTGCTCTCATGCGCGTCAACAAGCAACTGCACAGTGAAGTGCGGAAACATTACTATGAGAATGTGAATTTCTTGATTGCAACCGTTTTCCAACTGGAAAACACGTCCTTATACGAAGACAACACCATTTCTATCCGCCAGTTAATAGAGAGTATGGATTCTAACATCTTTCCTCTGATCAAGCAGCTTTCCGTACGCATAAATGGTTCCTCGGTTCAGGAAACTCTTCGTACAGGGTCTAGATCGCCTCCATTTGCCTTAAAGTACATATTTGATACATTTCCAGGCCTTCAGCAACTCACTATCACGTTCGGTACCGCGCCCCGTTCTAACATGTGGGTGGGACAAGATCAGGAGTCTATCCAAGGCAAGTACATGGATGAGATGAAGACGCGCTTCATCAAATACATCCCGCCATCGATCAAAGTGTCTTGGTGGCACGAAGATGCAGCAAGATTCTTCAACAGCGACATGGTCGAGAAGTCCTTATGGAGCGCCATACAAGAGCGAGCATCAACATACACAGACGACAGCGTTAACACTTCATCTTGAATAATTCCCACTACACTCTATACCATTATGCGTACACGAATCCAAGCAAACCCCCCTACCCCAACAACGCAGCTGCCTTATAAATCTGATACACTGCCAACCCACTTCCAACTGCCCAAAAGCTACTCCTCACAAAACTCGTTGCGTGATCCGCAATCTGCACATACGACACTACGTACGCTGTCCTAACCGCAAACCACGCCGCCACAAATGTCGTCAGGCCCGTTGCATCACCAGACACTACTTCCCGTCCCAATCCGACGGCCGTCGTGCGCTCAGCAACGATGCTTGCGAGCACTGCAGTGGCAAAGAGGGGTAGTTGCTCCATGTTGTTTGATTGAGCGTTCTCAGCGCGTTGATATTTTTGGAAGCTGTTTTATCCCATGTCAGCTTCTTTTCTCATGCTCATATGTAAAATGGTACAAAACATTTGGAGTTGAAGGGAAAATAACGACATACATTGCATCTGGCACCTTCCCTTTTACAGCATCTGGGGATAGAGAGGCCTTGGGGTTCGCATTGTTGACTTTGTAGCCGTTGGAGGAGAGCAGGCTGCCTGCGTAGCCGTGGGGTATGAGGGAGAAGACGTAGTAGGCCGGGATGGCGAGGAGGGGGTAGTTGAGGCTGTTGGAAGGCATTTTTTTAATGCAATTGGCTTGGTGAGTAGTTGGTAGTTGGTATAGTTGAGTCTCTCTTGTAAGGGAAAAGAGAAGAATTGTTGTGTTTGAATGTTGCAGGATCGTCATGGACTCGTTAATGCTAGGATGTGAGGATTGACGTAGTCATGAGCTAGCCTTGTCAATATGACGCCAACGTTTCTGAACTACTAGGATCACAATCCTTTCCTGCGCCGGGAAACACTAGATTCATTTGAGAACGCATGTATCGACTAATAGTAACATCTATTCCCATCATCAAGTCTATCAAATCATGCAACCCTTGCAACACCCATAATATCCTCTTCCAGATGCAACGCCTGGAACTGCGTAAGCACCTCTGGCAACTTGGGCCTATTTCCATCAACAGCAGTATCCGTCCTCTCCTTTGCCGCAACGCCAATCATGAATTTTTCATCAAAAGCCTGAATCTCCACACGCGTATCGTCCAACCTCTTACTCTCATCTTTCTTCATACCCTTTACACCCGCAGGTCCCTTGCCATCGGCCTTCATCGTGAACCAAACCTCTGCATCGCTGATGCGTTCGCCCCATGTTCCATGTGTGCTACAGCGCGCAGGAGTCCCAGCACGGGGCGCACGCACGTTCTTGAATTCCAGCCGGGGGATCCACTGTGCGAGGAGAGCTTCGCCGTCCAGCTTGATGTAAGCCTCCTTGTAGCACCAAAACGTGTAGAAGCGGCGTAGCTTTGCATCAATCAGCAGCTCTGAATCAAATACTCGCTTCTCTCCATTCGGGAGCGTGATGCTGAGTTGTTTGTGCCGCGCACAACATCGATCGTGGCGACCAATTATCTCTTGCGTGACTATTGTGCCGTCGAGAAGAGGAAAGGGATCAACGTTGTACTTGAGATCGAACAATTCCTCTTGGCTGTAGATTTCGGCGTACATGTCTATCCAGCCGTCGAATCCCTCCTTGTCTATAACGCGGTATTCGTCTCTTTCGTTGACACAGACGATATCTACGCCTACTTCTGCATCTAGCTCGTCTGTCTTGCACCCAACCAAGGCCACTAGGCCTGCTTGGTGCGAGATGTTGAACTCAAGAGGTGCCGGGCCATGCTGTGGCGGAGGTAACAGCGCAATAGGCTTTCCATGCTTGGGATCCCGTTTGCGACCGAAGCGAATGTCTTTCCACGGGATCCCCAGCATCTTGTGGACGAACAGACGCTTGAGCAGTGCCGAGCCGAGGCTCATACGAGCATCAGCTATGTGGTACTTCCGCGTAATATTCTCGCGCTCCTCAAGGCTGACTAGTGAAAGTGCTTCTCGGGCCTAGGATAACAATTAATTCTGTGTCAGTGGAAGCCGGGGAGATGTAGACCAACAGCTTCGGAGTCCGTAATCTTGGTACCGGGCCATATTGACCGAGTATCCAGGAGCCAGCAAGTGAAACTGCTCCCTACTGTTCCGTTGTCGTCTTGGTCGGCCATTGCGCTTCAGGCGAAGCAATAATGGCAGTAACAAGACAGCTAGTCGAGCAAGCGATATAGTAGTCTGGATGGACGGGACAATTCCGAGCTGCGGACCCCACTTGGCGGGCTCTTCGGCTTATTTGAGTGTTTCGGCGCCCGACACAATGGCTTCGAGATTTAGTAATGCGTCATATTCGGAGTTTCTATATCATGATTGTTCCTTCACGGCATCAGCGGGGTTCCCGAGAGTCGAGGTCGATGATCCAGATAATGACGATCGGAGAAGCGATCCGGCTAGGGCTGAGATGAGATGGGTGACATACCTAGACTGCGGCTTTTAGTGGGGAACATTTGGGGTTTATCGATAAAGGTTTTGTCGCATTTCCCGTCACTTTCCGTCTGTGTGACTCCCATGTCATTCCATGCCGTAATCTCGTAGACATATTTTTCTTTCCTTTGTTTTCTCTGATTACGGAGTTGATCGGTGTCTCAAAGATTCAACATGACGGTTACGAATAGCGAACAGAAAGTCACAGTTGGCGTGCTTGCCCTCCAAGGCGCTTTCAGCGAACACATTCAACTCTTGCGCTCCGCGGCTTCTAATATCGCCTCCGCACCACCATTCCAGTTCATCCAAGTGCGCACTCCGGAGCAACTCGAGCAATGCGATGGCCTCATCATTCCTGGTGGCGAGAGCACAACCATGTCCCTCGTAGCTGCACGAAGCAACCTCCTTGAGCCCCTGCGTGACTTCGTCAAGGTTCAGCGCAAACCGACGTGGGGTACATGCGCCGGTCTCATATTGCTTGCAGAGAGCGCCAACCGGACAAAGAAGGGCGGGCAAGAATTGATCGGAGGTCTGGATGTGAGAGTGAACAGGAATCATTTTGGAAGGCAACAAGAAAGTTTCCAAGCCAATCTCAACCTGCCGTTCCTGGACGCCACAAGCGACACTGGCAAGAGCGATCCGTATCGATGTGTCTTTATACGTGCGCCTGTAGTCGAAAAGGTGTTGCCCACATCCAAAGCGGTTGGCATTCAGAAGGGTGAGAGTGAGAGGGAGGATACCGTCGTTGCGCCGAGTAAGACACCAGTCGATGATCTGGCAAGGAGGGAACTGGATCGGGAAGTCGAAATCATGGCCACATTGTCCACGAATGCGAAGCCACTACAAGACAACCAGGAGCACAATCACACGGGTGCAGAGGACATAATCGCCGTTCGCCAGGGCAATGTCTTTGGATGTAGTTTCCACCCAGAGCTGACTGACGACTCGCGCATACATGTGTGGTGGTTGGGCGAAGTCCTCAAGGCGGTAGAAAGAAGAGAGCAGTTCGAACTGGCGGACCGGACAAAGTGAGCTACGCATCCTATGAAAGAGTACTCAAGACTTGTATTTGTAGACCACATTACTATAAATCGCCCGAGCGGCAGGCGTTTTGAAGACGGCGGTGAATTTCAAAAGGTATCTGATATTCGGTTCCCTTGCTCTCATACGCATGTCTAGGAATACAAAACTAATCACTGATGTCGAAGATGGATGCCAAATTCTTCCAGTGCCATGCGTCAAACTCCGTCAAAGTGGAATGTGCAAATTCATTCCTGGGATCGATGATCCTGCTCGTTGTCTCCGTTCTGAGGAATAGCGAATTGAACCGTATGTCTTTTGCGCTAGTATAGCATCTCAAGACTCTGAGCCGAGATCTGCTTCTCATCATTTCTGCCGCGGTCGCTATTAGAAGCCCTCCATGTCGAGCCCGCGTCTCCGGATGGTTCCCTGTTGCTGCTGACATGCTGCTGCGCGATCGTGGAATCCTCAACACTGCTCTACTGCGCCTCATGGTATTCGTCCACCGCCCTTCCGTAACCACCGCGTCCAGGGTCATACTCGGCTCGGTACTCATCGCGCACCTGTCCACCACTCTTTCCACGGCCATACTGCCGTCCCTCGGTAAAACCCTCGTCCAGATCTGTCCTGATAACGCGCTCATCCAACTTGGTACCACCAATATACTTCATGCAGTCGAGCGCATCCTGATGTGTGTAGTACTCAACAAAGCAGAATCCGCAGGGTGTCTTTTGGAAACGATCGAGGCCCATTACTAGTCGCTTGATCTCGCCGCATTTTGAGAAGAGCTCGTGGATCTGCTCTTCGGTGGTGTAGAAGGAGAGATTGCCTACGTAGAGCGTGGTTGCATCTTTGAGTTTGTCTTCAGGCGAGGGCGAGCGGGCGCGGTCGTCGTCGCGTGTGTTACGGTCGCGTCTGCGTTTCTAAGAATTATTAGTACATGCGATATGGGTTGGAGCGCAAGGCTTATGAGTACCTTTGCTGTCGCATATGAGCTTGGTTTGTCGAGGCGATCGATTGTGCTTCGAAGCGCAGGCATGATGACGATTTGTTACACACGTGAAGGAATGTGTTCTAGATGCGACCGTATTCAGGCCACTCAAGCGCTATTACAAAGTTTGGTGTTGGAGTGATTATCGAGATCCAAGGTTGAGAGCTAGCTTGCAGCTGCCCCAGACGCGTCGGCCTTGGCGCGCTCTCTCAAAGCTGGAACTTTTGTTTGCTCATAGATTCCCCAACCTCCAAACAATCAAATTCACACCACTATCACCGGTAGATATCCAAACTTTTCGGCCTTACCGGGATAGTCTTCGCGATGCCCAAAATACTTGGCTACACCCCAGACTGGCTCAGCCGCCCGAATCCAGGCTATCACCTGTTTGCGCCGAAACACACGGACGGTAACGGAGTCGTAGCGAGAAGGCCGGAGCCAGGATCGCAAAGGACGATTGCGACAAGAGGCTCGGAGATATTTGTTGCGGTTGGAAATGAGATACGTTGGGCGGACCTGGTCAACTTGAAAGAAGAAGCGCAGCCCGCATACCGAACCCTCAGAGTCTCGATACCACTACCTATTACGCGTCTTACCATCTCCCCCGAAGAGGATTATCTCGCAGTTTCGACATCGCATACCGTCCATGTGATCCATCTCCCCGACCCGTCATTGCTCGAAGGCGGTGAAGAGGGCCCTTTGAAGCCAAAGACTTTCCAGCTAGGACCGACCGTACACGTTCTCGAAGAGTCCCCAGTTGCGACAGTGCTATGGCACCCTTTGGGATATCATGGGCGTTGCTTGGTCACAATCACAAAAGCGGGTGTGGTGCGGCTTTGGGAGATCAATCGCGCGGATAGGTCGACATTCAGCGAACCTGCGCTGTCAATTGATCTGCCTAAGCTGGCGAATGCGACAAGTGATCAGGATGATCTTAGCGCATCCAAGTTTGGAGCCTCCAAGGGCTTCTCCCCCGACTCTGTCGAGCTGGAAGTTGCGTCTGCGTGCTTTGGCGACTTCCCAGAGCAAGAGGGTGTCCACGGGTGGGCGCCAATGACGCTCTGGATCGCCACTGTATCTGGTGATGTGTATGCGCTCTGCCCGCTGCTACCGAGCAAGTGGCAATTGGTCGAGTCACCCGGCAGCTACACCTTTCTGGAGACCCTCACCTCATCAATCAATATCAATTACACTGAGACGTCCGAAGACGAAACAGTACCCAAAGACGAGCTGAAGACGGCGGAGAAGCAAGTTTCGTGGCTGTCAGATATTCTGTACGAGGAGCCTTTCATAGAAGAGCGACAACAAGGAGACACAGTCAAGGTCTTTGCCCGTCCGACAAGCGCTCCTGCAGTACCACTTCTCCAGGGACCGTTCACCATGACACCAGAGGTGGACGATTTCGAGCTCAGTGACATGATTGTCTTCTCGCTCAAGACTTTGTCGGAGAGCGAAGACGAAGAGACAGCAGCCGAGGGTTTGCCAACAGCTGTAGTATGCCTACTCACTGACACGAGCATGGTTCATGTATGCTTGGATTTGCAGGGCATCGTCGGACGCTGGCTACCATCACCGGAAGATGAGATTGATGTGACAGAAAGGCACGAGCATGAGTTGCTTATAGTGGAAACAATTGCTCTGGTTAAGGATGAGGTATCATCGTTCAACCAGAGCATCACGCCCGATGTACATACCGACTTTTCGTTTTTCGTTTCGCACGCCAGCGGCGTCTTCTACATCTCATTGGAGCCTTGGATCCGAAAGGTCGAGGTCGAGTTATCCCAATCCCAAACACAGGGCTCGGCCTTCCGTCTCAAGCGAGTGCTAGAGTCGGCAAACACGTCCGTGGACCAGTGTCTGCAACGACGCATTACTGGTAATGTAGCAGACCAAGAAGTCACAGCAGCAGTCGTCATTGAGGATGGAAACGTCGGTTACCTTCTCCTTACTAGCGTCAATGGCGAGCCCCAAGCTGCCCTCCTTGATGCGCCAGAAGATGGACTGCCTACTCAGGAAGAGCTTGCCGAGTATATGGCAATTGCCGGACCTCACAAAGAAGTTCGTGAGGCATGGCAACCGCCAAAGGAGCTTTACGATTCATTCGACCTGTTCAAATCCATTCACATCCCCGCACGACACCGAGGAACTCTTCAGGATGAGATCAGGCTGTCTCCTGCGAATCTCTCGCTGCTTATGGATGTCCACCGAGCACTTTCGGCGCAGACTTCAAAGTTGCAGCACGCAGTCTCAGATCTGTTCAACAGGGCGACCCGATTGCAGGAAGAGTTCCGAGACCAGATTTACAGGACATCGGAAATTGCGGCAAACATTGAAGATGTGACGTACAACGGTCAAGCAAGCTCAGTCGACGGATCAAACTACGAAAGTCTCAAGATTGATGATCGAATGGAGAGAGTCAAGGAACGACAGGAGCAGATTAACGCACGCTACGAGGCGCTCCGACGAAAGATGGTCAACATTGGTTCTAGTCAGTTGAGCGAGAAGGAAAGCAGCTGGATTGAAGAGCTACAGACAATGGAAAGCGCTGTGGATCCTTCGAGCAAAACTCTGACTGATGACGTTGACGGCAGCGAGCGGCCGGCGTGGCAGCGTCTGGAAAGGATCAAGCAAGTGCACCAAGAGCAAGCACGACAGATTGAAGAGGCGACCAAGTCGGCGAAACGGGGTGAGATTGAGGGAGTAAGGAGTAATGGTGTAAAGATAGCGAGCTACTCGAGAAAGGCGGAAAACGAGCAGGTGCAGGAGCTGATACAACGGAACAATGTGTTAGTTGAAGCTGCTACGGATAGGCTGAGGAGGTTGGGGGTGAATGTGCCAGTGGAGGCTGGGAGTTAGGCAGATGAAGTAACTGTGTATATGGAGCAGGGCTGGAACGGGCTTGTTGGAAACAGATTGGTTAGGTAGCCGTGGGATAGACGCAATATGGTCTTTTTGTCCAGACATGGTGTTTTGTAGCAATGAGTACGAAGTCACGTTGTTGTGGGGAAACACTTTATCATTTCGTATCTTGGATATCATAAGTAACGTTAGATAGAATAGCGAAAGAAAAAAAAATTAAGTGCATACCATATTGTGGTGACTTACCACCAAGCTTCCTGTTTCTGCACTTTGGTTATCCTGACAGCACGGCGCTTACCAAATAAGTGTTAGCGCCTTTCAGCTGTGGGGTGTATGTATGGCTTAGAGAGTGGTGATCTCAAAATACCTACAAAGGCCAGGGTAGGTGCGGCTCAAAAGTTCTGTTAACTATGTTGCCAACCAACCACATTCAATTTTAGGCAGTAAGAATACATGAAATTCCTCTCATTGTGTAGCAAAGAGCTATACACTATATAGCAAAGAAGAATGAACAAGTTACTTGCCGCTTGAGAAATGATAAAAACTTTCTCACTGCTCAAAGAAAAAAAAGTGAATAGCTGCCGAAAGTCGCTCGATCCCGTGTTTTGTCGTAGCAAACAAAAAGCTTTCCTTTATCGCTGAACACCTGGGAGAACAATCTTACCCGCTCGGACCCTTCTCATAGACTCACGCTGCTGATGTCGAAGTACGTAATGGACAGCCTGAGGAATATCCGCAGGCTCTTTGCCTGCAGGTGGGCAGATAGATTTCCGCACCAAGATTCTGTTCATTTCATGAACAAGCCTAAATGTTGACATGTTAGAGCCTGGTGTGCGAAGATGGTCCTCAAAAACCGTGCACATTGCTGGGCTCATGTGATTTGTGGTACCGACACCCCAACCGCAAGCTCCTATCAGTTCCTTCCGCGCTTCAAGGTGGTTCGCGTCGTCGGCAGAGTTGTTCTTACGATCCGCGTTATTGTCCCGTCCATCCGCTGAGTCGTTATCTTCATTGTGGATGTCTTCACTGTCACTGCCATCATCTTGATCATCCTCGTCCTCCGTAGATATCACTGCAGCCAATCCGGCGTTACAGCAGTCAAGAATGACTAGCGTGTCACACTCTGCCATCATAATATCTCCGCTAATATCCGTCCAGCAGATTTGGGCGATGGGTTGGTATGGGTCGCTTTTGTGCCGTTAGCGTATGTCGTCAATTTAGTATTTAACTTCTTCTAATTAGGGACATACTTTCTGTCTCGGAGATAGCCATTGACGTCATTGGGAGTCATATTGTTCTTGAATAGGTTAAGCATAGTGCTCCAAAGCTCGTGCGTACTCTCAGGGTAATTATGACTAGGATATTCGGGTTAATATACATGATAAAAATAAAGTTTTCAGGATTCAGATCCTACTTGTGGAGCGCAAATCTGTTCCTTTCGGCAAGTCCACCATGACCATGGTAATAAATTATGAGCAAAGTCTCGTTGTTTCCCTTCTTCAAAAACTTATCAAGTGCAACCTGAAGTTTTTCCAAGGACTCTGTCATCTGGATTTCATACACTGTAACTGTATAATCCAGAGATACAAATGCTGCCCAGACATCTCCGGTTTCCCTCCTTAAATCTAGATCAGTATATTTGAACGTGAGCAGGAGAACTTCAACTGTCCGATATGGGTTCCGGGCTTGTTCTTGACCTGTTATCGAACCGGTGACAGAGCGTTCCCCGGAAGAAGAATCTGAACTGCCGACACAAATTTCCACGGAAGAATCATCTTGAGGGACATAGTCTTCTGTATCTCTGATTTCCGACGTCTCCTGTTGCTTCGCTCTCTCCTCTGAATCTTCCATCTCAGCATTTTCGGTAAGGCGTCCGGTATTTGTTTCCTCGACTCTCCCTTGGGTTGTCTCAGATTTCCGTTCTGATGTGCCGGGTACAGATTGTGACATTTTCAAGTTGCTGATCCTCGCAAAAGATGAAAATGGAGTTTTAGAGAAGGATAGAATTGACAGTGAGAAGAGCAACGAAATTAGCAAGGGCATTCATATATCCCTTGAAGGATAAGACAATATCAAGTTTTGATACAGGCCTACCCTATCTAAATTAATAAAGCAACTTGCTCTTATTGGCCTCGACTTGTGAACATGCAATGCTGCTGTTACGTGGCAGATGGTCATTAGGCTACATCATTCCCAAAAGCGTCTTGATGCAGTGCTCAGCAGCTTGCTCACTAAATCTTGTGAGACGCAGAGTATGTGAGCTGTACTTGGAATTTCCACCGCTACCTAGAGGATGGTCGACCTGCTCCTGCTATAACCTTGCGTGGAGGGTAATAATATAATAATGGTTTATTTAGTTGCATGGGGTGTCTGGTAACCTAGGGACGGATGTTAGTTGTGCCTTGCATGAAGCCCGGTCACGTGAAGGTCCTTTTTGCACCAGCTATACATCTACCCCACTACCAGCCCTATCACACTTGGCAGATCAATGTCGAACATGATGTCCAAGAAGATAATGGCGCCTGATTAATGGTTCTTGACATGGTGCAAGGGAGTAACGCTTGTCAGTACCGTGCTGCCAGGTGCTAGCAACGAATGGAGAAGAGGTTGCGGGTCCAGAACGATCAGCTCTGGCAGTCCCGGTGCCGTGGCGAGATTGGAGCGACCAAGGCCAAGGGGCGAAGAAACATTGGCCCAATCAAAAGAGGCAAAACACGATGCTTCGCCTGTCAGCCAGCCGTGGCCATGCAGCGTGGATGCAACAGTATGAGGATGGGAGCATGCGCATGCATCCAGACTGGAACCTTGGTATGCCGGTGTGTAAGTATATTGCGGCGTAGCTGTTGTATCATCAGCGCGGAGCTGACTGTGTCGGCATACACGTACATAGATTGATGCGCTCATCTTATCGCCACCGTTGCAGCGAGTGCTCGGCTCGAGTCGTCTTGAGCAGAGGCTGCGGCGGTTCCAAGCCATGAATCACGCCGCGGTCGCACTGTGACGGACGGACTGGCACGGGAGGCGACGTTCGTGTGGGCGATGGGAGGGTTCTTGACGGGCATTTGTGCAATGCAGAGGTGGAGCAGTTGGGCGCTTACAAGTGCCCTGGGCGGCCATGGCATAGCCTGCAAAGCCATCACACTAGCCTAGCCAATCAGCGCCGCCACCGCTATGTCTTTCACCCACGCTATCCACGTCTAACTTCCCTCCCGCCCGACCACAGCTGCAGCCGCGCAGCTTAGTGGTCGCCCGCCCTGGTCAAGCCAATATGCTGGCGCCATGCCTATTCGCTGCCTACTCAATGCTTCCAGTGCTGACCTGCACTGACTGCTCATGCTGCCCGCCTCGGTTTGCATCGCCTATTCGCTCCCCTCGCTCTTTTCGCCAGCCATGGTGGCTCCCACAAGACGGTCGCGGCCAAGGCCTGTATCTCTTAAGTCTTGAACGGCCCCCCGCCACCGCAGCCTGCCTGGCTGTGTCGACTACATACTATCGGACTGCGCCCCCCACCGCATAGCTAGACCAAACCATCTTTGCCTTGCGACTCCCTCCCTCCTCTCCACCATACCGCCGCCATGTTTCGTTTCACCGAGCTCGTCTTTGTCGCCGCTACCTGGTCCCTTGCCGCTGCGCATACTGTTATGGTCTACCCGCCATGGAGAGGAAACAACATCCACACAAACGGCACCCTGTCTCCCACGGACCCAACTATCCCAGATGGTTCGCTTGGAATAAACTACCACAACGACACCGGCACATACGGCTTTCCATATGGCATGCAGTGGATGTACCCTTGTATGTTACTTCGTCATCTTCCTTCTGTCCCAACCCATAGCTAACACCCTCAATAGGCGGAGGAATGCCAACCTCGCGTAACCGAACAAAGTGGCCCCTCAAGGGTGGTGCCGTTTCTATCCAACCAGGATGGTTCCCTGGCCATGCCCTCGCTCAAATCTACATCAACATGGGATACGGCAACGAGCCTCTGAACTATTCCCATACCATGTTGCCCGTTTTCCAGATTACCGGTCCCACCAACCAGGAGTACGGAGGCCAGTTTTGCTTACCCCAAGTACCATTACCTGCCAACTACACGCCCAAAGTCGGAGACAATGCCACCATTCAGGTCATTGAGCTGGCGCAGCACGGCGCCGCCCTCTACAACGTAAGTTCTAATCCATCTTGCAATCTTTATACATGTTGTTCACAACCTCAACAGTGCGCCGACATTACATTTGCCGAACCAGGGGATGCGGAAATACCAGAGGTCAACGCAACAAACTGCAGAAACACAACCGAGCCAGACCAGAAAATTGGTTTCCAAGTTCTATACGCAACAACATCATCACGAGCGCCACACACCATTGTCGTAAACGGTTATGCATCGATACTCGTACCAGCAATGCTTGCAACCGCATCCTGGTTAACATGGGCCATTTAACAAGTCAACTTGCTGTTTTTTGTTTTTTTCTTTCGTATCACGGGCATGGCGTTGGGTGTAAAAGATATCCGGTTCTTTGTTGAAGCGACAGACTTCCAGTTGGAACGTACGCGATCAAGGGGTGGCTTTTCGGTTGAGCCATTGGGGGTGCTGAAGAACAGCTTGAACTGCCCTTTTTTTTACCGCACATGAAAGCGCTGCGCTCGCTGTAGTAGCTTTGCTGATGAATGCTAATCACCAATTCTTACACAATCATTTCTATTTTTACCAGGTCTCCGTTGGGGACTTGATGATGGTGATGATGATGAATGCTTACTCGCATTGACTCTCCATTTCAACCAACAAAGGCCGCCATCTTACTTCTTCCCCCACAGCTTTCTCATCATCATCAAAACTAAAAGATGACATTTTTGGTTGTTTCTGCAACAACGAAGACGTCAACGGGAGGCCTGAGAGGCGTCGGGCTTGCGGGCTTGCCGGATGGCAGCGGGTGGCTTGCGTTGGAAGGGCCAAAGCAAAAAAGAAGAAGATCAGCAATGCACGGGGGAGGCACGGTTTTTTTCTCCACTTGCCGCTGGCGTTGGCCAACACCAATATCGAGTAATAATACACCTAGTGAAAACCCTATTATGATATTGTTTTCTAGTAAATCGGTAAAAGATTTACCATAGTTAAAAGGATATTGCTGCAATAGTGTAGACTTGAGTTGTCGATAACGACACGCCGATGCAAAACCCCTCACATTCCAAACATACACGCACTCTGTCTAGTCATTTGCCCAATCCTCACCAAATTCACCTATCTAACACAATCCTTACCCTTTTTGTACGATCTATATGCGCAAGTCTCAACCCCACATACCCTTCGCGATCGGAATCCCCATTCCGACAAACCGATCTACTAGCTGCCTACTATCTCTTTTTCTTCCTTCGTTTTCCCCCACTTTTTTTTGCCCACGATTTGCGCCGCATCCTGTCATATCACTCTTGTACGCGCCCTGCAACAAAAACGGGAATCTAGGGCAAAAGGGCTTCACCGCTTTTGCTGTGCCAATTGCCGACGTTGCTGTTCACATACGTATGTGCAACTTGGCGCGGTTCTAGTTTACGAAGTGGGTAAAAAAAATTGCCCCGCTTTTTCTTTAGCCATCTTTGTTGGAAGGTTTTTGTTGGTTCGATTTTCGGTAAATTGAAACACGGAGCTGGGCATTTATCTAAATCTGGTGTTGGCCATTGGTCATTTGGGGAAGTGACTTAAGACGCAGATACTGGAAAAAGAGTTAGTGAGGAGAGAGAATATGCAGTCTTTTTGGATTTGAAAAAGTGGGGCTGCTTACGGATTTTTGGTAGGTTGATTATTATTTTTTTTGCCTTTTTTGGTGAAGTAAAACGGAAGAGTGAAGAGAGGAGAAGTGGGAAGAAAAAGAGAATGTCTGGGAGAAATAAAGCAAATGGCAGCGGTGGTGCTGGAAGAGTAAAACGCAAGCAGATCCAAAGCGACGATGGATGGACAGTCATCACGCATGGTCTATCCAAAGTCTCGCTGAGCGAGAAGAGCCAAGGTGCTACGGTTCTACCTACCCAAATCGTCAAGGATCTGACAGCCGAGAAGTTGCTCGGCGATTTCAAGACGCTGCAGGAGCGATGGGAAGATACGGCGCTTGCAGCTCAGGTTAACGGGGTTATCGAGGGGCGAGAGTGGGGGGTCGAAGAAGCAGTGTGTATAGGTATTGGCAGTTTTAGCAGGGATTGGGCGCATCGGTGGAGGAGTCTTTGGCAGCTTGTACTGTTTGATCATGTTGTTGGACGACGTAAGTTCTCCCTCTTTACGCACCCCCAAGTCTTTTGCTAGACGAGCAATCTAACACCCCATCCTACAGTCAAAAAACTCAGCAAGAAGACTGAGATCCAGTGCTATGCTCAAGACCCGGCTTTTACACCTCTCGACACAGAATTCCTCTCTCTCCTCTCTATCACTACTCTGGATTCCGGACTCGAAGCGAAAATCAAGGCAAAGTCGTTTGTCTATTCGCCGTTTGTGGATTGGTTTTTGCTGCTTCCCACGTTTCTGGCTGATAGAGATCCCGTGCTGTATATTGGAAATGAGATTCTGGATGATTACAGCATGTATGCGCAGAGCGAGGAGAAGAAAGAGAAGTTACAGGAGTGTAACGAGGTGGGGAAGAAATGGTTGGTGGGTAGGCAGGTGGTCAAGTTGTGTGAGTTTGAGAAGCACGGGAATGCGTTGAATGGGATGGTTGTTTATTTGAGGGTTACTGGGGATGACGATAAGGATGACGGTGAGGAAGATAAGAAGGAGAGAGTGAAGGATGGTGAGGAAGAGAAGTAGAAGTGGAAGAGCAACTAAGGTGAGATTAGGATGTGTCTTGGGTAACAAAAAGACTAAGGCACAGTTACTATGCTCCCAATCCACGAATGTGTTCACATGGACATTACGGAGTAGGTTCAGGGCTCAAATCTCAAATTATCAAAAAGGGGTATCATTACTC